AAACTTCATTTACATGGCACCTAGCCTGTGGTAATAGTGTACCACTTACTGTCACTTATCACATGTGTCGTTTCCTTGAGAAACAGATGTACTTAAGCGAGTGTTGGGTAGCTAATAATAAGGCGGCTACTTTCACTTCTAAGCTAGCTCTTGTCAACTGTAGGCTACCTCTCAAGTTTCTTTAGCTCTCATATTGTTAGCAGATAGGCTAGCTGGCTAAACTGGATGAGGGATTATGCTCTCATGTGACTTTGTCTCGTCTTCCAAATGAGATCATCAGGGTGATCGTATCTGCTGTGACTGACTGACCAGGACTCTCACGGCGGCAGCATGAAGCTCTACAGCATCAGCATCCACCACAAAGGAGGGACCAAAGCCAACCTCCTCAAATCGGCCTACGACCTCTCCTCCTTCAGCTTCTTTCAGCGCTCCAGGTCGGTCCCCTGTATATATCATCTGACCTATTTGTATTGGACTCTTTTGTTCTGTGTGGAGATGGAGAGAGAATTGTAATAGTAACACTGTGGTCTTTTACACGTCAGTTTTGTTTGGGTTTAAAAAAAAATACATTGTATAGTCTAATTTGTTGCCTAATCATACGTGGGGACTTTTCCATTGGTGACCTTATTGTTTTGGCTTGTTTAGTGTTCAGGAGTTCATGACCTTCACCAGTGCCTTGATTGTTGAACGGACATCACAAGGAAGTCGTGCCTCTGTCAAAGAGCAAGGTAAACATTAGCAGCTTCAGCTCAGGTTCAATTCTAAAGTTGTATCATATCTTGCTTTAGTGTTGTTCAGCACTTATCCTGTTCTTTCTCTGTTTGGTGCCACCCAGTTTATATAACAGTAAGAACTTTGTTGTGAGTGAAGCAAAAGTTAATATTTACAATTGAATCAGCATCCTGGTGGGGGAGTGGTAAAGATGTGCATCGTACAACATGTGAAGTCCCTGACTCTGACCAGGAACCTTGGGTACCTCTCTCCCTCCAAATGTTTCCTGTGTGTCTTAACATATCAAACATGCATATGTATAAACAGTTTAAATGGAAGGTCAGTCAGGTAAACAATAAATAAGTCGGGCTCTGTCGATGTTAGCTATTCTTGAAGAGACCGGTCTGGTTGCTGTACCCATTAACACCCCCTATTATCAAAATGATTTCCATATATTACAATGAGTAACATTTATTTAAAATATATCACTTTTACTTCTGCTTTTCTTAACAAAGCCAGCCAACTTGTTCTGGGTTAAACCGTACCCTAAAACCAGGAACCGCTTTTATCACACTTCTGTTTTCATCATACTAACCATGGTTTCTCCTATTTGCAGAGTACCTGTGCCATGTGTATGTAAGAAATGACAACCTGAGTGCTGTGGTCATCGCAGATACTGAATACCCTCAGAGAGTCTGTTTCACATTGCTAGACAAGGTGGGTATAGAAACATGTTAAGAGACACTTCTTGCACTTTGCCGTCAGCTTCAGTTTTCATATTGTTGTTTGGCTTTTTTCCAGGTATTAGAAGAGTTCTCCAGGCAAGTGGACAGTATAGAATGGCCCTCTGGTAATCCTGACACCATAAACTACAAAGCCTTGGATATTCACCTTTCTAAATACCAGGTCGGTGTGTCATCTGTTTATTAGGAAATATGTCAAAGGAAACTGTTATTGCCTAGGAGTATGAAGAAATATATTGCATTTCCTTAACGTGTCTTTTGTCATCTTACACTGTTAACTGAAATGTGGTTCGAGTTAAAGACGAAAGATATGAATGAATCAGTGCTGTTTAATGATACTGACCGCTTGTTGTTGTTTATTTCCCCCAGAACCCCAAAGAAGCAGATGCAATGACCAAAGTGCAGGCAGAGCTGGATGAGACAAAGATCATTTTGGTAAAATCCTCCCGAAGCACGGGCCGCATACTTAAACTAAGAGGATGATAGATATTCCTTTTTATATAGAAACATCAGAAGATTTTAGTTTGTTCTCTTCATAACAGAATACACATGTAGGATATGGAAAGCACATAATACTAAAAAACTAAAACAAGCAAGCTACAGGTCCTGGGCAACCTCTACATGCCAGAGCCATAACGTAGCATTCCGGTTGCACTCTGTGATTAACAAACCTTTCTGTATCTGTAGCACAACACCATGGAAAGTCTTTTGGAGAGAGGAGAGAAATTGGATGATCTTGTGGCAAAGTCGGAGCACCTTGGAAACCAGTCCAAAGCCTTCTACAAGACTGTAAGTGCTGGCGTTATTATCTGGACTGACACGGTCATTAACTGTTTAGATGCCTGACTGTTTGCATGTTAACCCTGCAGGCACGGAAACAGAACTCCTGCTGTGAAATCATGTGATGCCTCGTCCTCGAGGACACGCCTCTCTCTGCCTTTCTGATTTTCCTACAACTCCCATCACCCACCAGCCACCAGCTCTCAACACAAAGGACAGAAAGGACACTTTCATCCGGGTCAGGAGGTTAGGATAACAGCATGAAAAGGTGGAAATGTGACCTCTCCAGACTGAGACTGATGGGGGCTGAAGTGTTGGGGTTTGGTCTGGGGAAGAAGTAACATTTGATTATTTTTTTTACCCCTCAAAGGGTAAACATCTTGTGGTGTTCCAATACCAGCTGCAGACATAATAGTGTGACGTTGTGTATCGGTGATGTATTGTATAAACGTCCTCAAACCATTTAATGTTATCAGATTGAAACGAATCCTCATAGTTTGAATTCAATTATTAAAATTCTTAACCACAATTGTGCTTCTGCTTCAAGACAACTCTGACAATCACAAAGTCTTATGTAGTGATTTCTAAAGATGCGTCACGGTTAAACCGTTTTTTCTTGCAGGCATAACCTTTGTTGCCCACTAGGTGGCCCTGTTTATTTACTTGTATTCCTCCAATGAGCCTCAGTATGAGGTAAAACAACTCTAATGTGAGCTAGGACAACGGGTGGCTGCTTGGATGTGTGACATCAGAATCTCACAGAATTTTGAAAATGTATTATACTGGATTAAGTTACATGATTTCTCTGTCTCATAGTGTTAAATGAAACTTTAAACATTCCCACTTTGGGTGAGTGCGTAATGAATGATGGTGCATCTTAAAGCTGATAGGAAGGGAGGAAAGATGCTAAGTGTAGAGGGATGTTTCTTCATAAATGCAGCCTTATTGCGGCTAACATGCAACCCTGTGTGCTGTTGTAGAAATGATGTGTTCTCATGAAAAGGACGGCACAACAAGCTGTTCTACTTAACATACTGTAGCCATGCTTTTCACTGTTAACCGCCAAACGCAACACTTTAGAGTTCAAGAGCACACTCAGAGCTCTGCAGGGGGGGCCGTCTGTTCCTCTCAAACCCTGGATCTATTTACCATCACTTGTGATTCTGAGAGCCCTCGACTGCTGCTGCACTCTCTGGCTTCTTATTGTTGAATGTCTGAAAAATGGTCAGACAAATTGGAGGATTTCACATCCAACTCATATTTTAACACACTCCACAATTGACTTCCTAATTTTCTTATTTTTACTGACAGCACTGCTTACTTTGTATGCAGAAATGTCTCTTCAGGAACTGCTGATCAGCTTAGAGATAGATGCCTTGGGTTGTGTATTTTTAGATGTTTCACTGCTCTCTTTCAGCTGTGTGTGTGTGTGGTTTGTTGATATACAACATATGCAGGCTGTATTGGTGTTGAGTGCCTGTGTGTGAGGACTGGTGTGTATTTGTGTGTGACCTGAATTGCTCTTTCTGCTTTTACAGTGTAAACGTTTGTGCAATATCTCTGCAGACTGATGGTATATTTCTCTTAAAGTGGAAAGGATACATTTAAATAATTTCTCATAAAGGAAGGTGAATTAACCTTTGCATATGCTTTGTCCTTATCACTAACTCTCATGTGAAGTGTGTCGAGGGATGTTCCTACGATTTGATTAATTGCTTTTTTTCTCCAAAATGTCCTCAATTAATGTGCTAAATTTGAAAACATGTATGTAACAGTCCACATTAAATGCTTTGATTCTGATGTGGTCTGCACAATTAAAACCAAGACTTCAGTTAATAAACGGTTATTTTCTGTCTGTATTCACTTTTAGTTTTTGGAACTCTGATTGTTTACAGAACATGCCATCTTGGCTATAAACACACATGATAGCATCCTACTGGAAGCTGGCATTGAGGTGTTGCAGGAAATCCTATAACACAATGTAAAGGTAAACTTGTTCTTTGAGTGTCAACAGTAGTATCTTTTTCAACATCCATGTCTTAACTCGGCAAACTGAAACCTGCACCTTTCCACAGGAAGGTCAGAAGCTGATGCACCCTTCACGACGTGTTGTAGGAAATATCAAACTTTAATATGAACAGAATCCATTAAGGAACCGAATTAAGGCTAAATGTTACCTGGCCTACCATTTTTCATATTGTAACAAATTAGATGAATTCTCAAAAATCCGTTTTGCTCTCAAGATACCGCATAGAGCAATGGTGGATGAGGTATTCAGATCCTTGTAAAATTACTCCATCACAAGTACAAATACTGCATTAAGAATGGTACTTCTTATTAGGAGTAAAAGTAGGCTACTCATTGCAGACTTGCTCTAAATTATAAATCAAAAGGAGAAAAACTTTACATTTGAAAAGCTACAAATATTTTAAAAGTTATTAATGAGTGTTGTGTCAAACTCAAGCTGTAACATAAATGTAATAAAGTACAAATACAAAATGTTACTGATTTTAGATAATTAGAAGTATAAAGGGGCACTGAAGGAAAGCAAATACTTTAGTAAATGCACAAACTACTTTCCACCCCAAACGTAGAGGAAACGCCTGATTGATATTAAAAACACAAATAATTCGATCGTTAACTTCAGACAATTTTTACAACTCTTACTTCAGTCGAACAGAACAGCCTTGCACAACACGGTCCGAGGTTCTTTTCTGTACCAGATATAAAGTACGAGTTGAAAGGAAGTACATGAATGCAGCACCAGAGGCGCACCTCGCTCCTCGCGCGTCCTTCTCAGGTGAGAGGAAAACATGATGGACGGATGAAGTCTGACCGCACACAGCCTCAAAAATGTGGACGGATGTGAAAAACAGCAGCAGGACTGTAACCAGCGGCGGGAACAGCTCGATGGTAAGAAGCTAAAAGAGAAAATCAGACGTTTATTTGGTTCCTACGGAAGAGCAACAACGAACCAAAACAAACCTGTTGATCCGGGAACGAGCCTCTCTCTCGGGATACAGTGTTTCTTTACGACGGTTACAACCTGACCCATAACGGTTTCACTTGTTTACTAGTCTTCAGTGAGCATTATTACACTAAACCTAGACTGTTTGACCGTCCAGCTGCAGGAACAAGTGTCTACATGATTCTTTTGGAAATATGTGTGTTTCTTATCTGGCACGTTTTCTTATCTTTGCTGCCTGTCGTTGCCCTAAGCGCTCTGATTTCCCTCTTTGTTGGACTTCCTGCAGCACGGTGTCCACCTCAGCTGATTCAGCACTTTACTTCCACCTTTATTTTTTTCTGTGTGTTTTAAACTATTGTTACTGTGGTTAATGCCTGTCTTTTTAAAATGCACAATCAAGTATCCGATCAGTGTGTCCTCTCAGTGCCCTGTGCTCCACTTCCCTTTTTGTTCAAACATGTATGTTTTGGGCGTTTGCAGATGGTTGACTCAGATCTGACACTTTTACAGAATGCTCAACACAGAAATGGTGAGATTTTTAGAGTTGTATTTCTTCCTATCTTTTTATGTTGGTTTTGTCAAAGTCACAAGTTGTCATGTTTTTTATTCTTATAAAAAGATTAACTACATGTTTGTCCACATTACCTAAATCAGATTGAAGTGGCAGACAAAAGGTGAATTCCTCCTCATGTAAATTCTATCTAGCAACTTGTCAGCTTTAGATGACTGGCAATCGATACTATTTTTTATTTAGAGCCATGCATGGCAAATGGCCCAGTTTCAAAGTGGCTAAAATATTTAATATGACAAAGGAAACATACTGTATTTGTTGCTCTATGTTCACAGACTTAACTGTTCATTTAGAAAATGGTTGTTACATGAACATTATATTTTATAAACACCAAGAATGCCTATAATTAAACATATTACATTATTTTCCCCATCAATAGAGTCACTGAGTTGTAAAGTAGTACTACTAATTATAAATTATGTAGGCAAATGTATCTCTCACAGCGTTTTATATTAGCGCTGTTGACAGTTATTTGTCAATATGTTTTTCCCCCTTAAAAGGTTCAACTGCAGCTGCTACTCGTCCTTCACACACAGAGGACTCTTTAACTAGCAGCAGTGGAATCATCCCAGGTGACAACATCTGATGTCTTTACAGACCCTGCACGACCTGTTTCGGAGAGAAACACCTGACTTAGGTCAACAGCAAACAAAGTGTATTTCCCTCAGGGGTCAGCCCACAAACAGAGGAGAACTGAGCTGAACCACCAGCAGCAAAGCAAGCTTTACACAATTCCAAAACATTTTATTTGCCAGATCTTTTATGTATGATCAAATTGCTGGGGGTTATTTTTGTTTGCCAACACCAATATATTTTTATCTATACTCCCTTTTGAGAGCAGTGTTTTCATCAGACATATTCATAAGTGTATAACGCTTCCATTAGCGTCAGGTCACTAAACCAGATATTGGTAAAGGGCAGTGAAATTCCTCAGGCCCCCAGTAATATTATGAAGGCAGGCTGCAGAGCTCTGAAAGATGACATTTACAGAAGAGGAGAAATCCCCAAAGCACCAAAAAGATACCCCAGTTGTTTATTTGATGTATGACAGTGCAGGGGAGATTGATAGGTCAATTAAAAGCATGAAATGTAGCATATGTTTTCTGTGAGGGAACCGGTTCACTTATATCACCAGGATGAAAAGTAGGTAAACAAATTATTTCTGCAGAAGATACAATGAACCGTGCAACCCTGCATATTGTGCATGTGTCCTCATGTATTGGCATGATTATTGTTGTGTAATAACAAGTCTGTTTTTGTGGCTTTAGGTGCCATTGCAGCCACAGTGTTCATTGCCTTTCTACTTGCTCTCTACGCTGTCCTCTGGAAGTGCATGGTGTCGCCACCACAAAGGTAACAATTACATTTTGTTGACACAGCGTTCTTGAAACTGTCATTTGGTCACCTGCCTGTTAGCGTCACATGTCTGGACTTTGTATCCCAGCTCATCAAAGAAAGACCAATAACAAGAAAAGACAATAATTTACAACAGAAATATAAAAACAAAACACAGGGAAATGTCAGGAGTCATATTCAGCTTTGACTAGAAGGCCAGAGAGAAGAAGTGTGTCTTTAGTGAGGATTTAAAAACCCCTAGGGTCTGGGCCGACCTCACATGGAGGGGCAGAGCCTAGGGCCAGCTGCTGCGAAGGCTCAGTGACCTCGGGTTTTGAGCCTGGTCTTGGGCACTACCAGCAACAGCTGGTCAGCAGACCTTAAAGCTCTGGCTGGGGTGTGGCGCTGGAGGAGTTCAGCTATATAGGCCGGAGCCAGCCCATTTAGGGCTTTAAAAACAAATAAAAGGAGTTTAAAATCAATTCAGAACCAAATTGGAAGCCAGTGTAATGAGGCCAGAATTGGGGTGATGTGGTCACGCTTTTTGTGTCCAGTAAGTAGACGCGCAGCTGCATTCTGGACTAGCTGCAGGCGTTTAATTGACGCCTGGTCCATACCCACATACAGAGCGTTGCAGTAATCCAGTCTCGAGGTAACAAAGGCGTTAATAACCCTTTCTAGGTCTTTAAAAGATAAAAACAACTTGGTCTTAGCCAATATTCTTTATTTTTTTTTAAATGCATGTTTTGACTATGGAGCTGACCTGCTTATCGAATTTAAAAGCACTATTGAAGGTCACTCCAAGGTTCATAAGAGACGGGAGGATGTTTTTATTGAGAGAGCCCTGAATATCAACCAGAGAGGCTAGGCTGGAGGTTGGGGTCCAAAAAAGATGACCTCTGTCTTGCTCTTGTTGAGGTTAAGGATATTTTTGCTCAGCCAGGATTTGATCTCTGTCAAGCAGTCCATCAGTTATTGACATTTGAATTGAGAGGCAGATATATCTGTACATTGTTGGCATAGCAGTGGAAGGGAATGTTGTGTTTAGTGAGAATTGAACCTACAGTAGGGGCAGTATGTACAGTAGAAAGAGGATGGGGCCCAGGATAGAGCCTTGGGGAACCCCACAGGTAAGAGGGGCTTTAGCAGAGGAGAAGGCACCTAGCTGCACTGAGAAGCTACGGTCTGTCAGGTAGTACCTGAACCATGCAAGGGCTGAGCCTGTGATGCCTGCGGACTGTTCAAGCCGCGACAACAGGATGCTATGGTCCAGTGTCGAAGGCAGCTGTCAGGTCTAACGGCACCAGGACAGCTGGGCTACCTGAGTCGGCGGCTAGGAGCAGATCATTAAAACCCTTAAAAGGGCTGTTTCAGTGCTGTGCATAGGTTTGAAGCCAGACTGAAACTTTTCGTGAATGCCATGCGTGGTTAAGAACGACTGCAGCTTGACATAGACTACTCGCTCCAGGACTTTAGATACAAAAGGTAGCTGGGAGATGGGCCTAAAATTTGCGAGAATGGAGGGGTCGAGATTTTTCTTTTTAAGTAATGGCTGCACCACGGCATGTTTAAAGGCAGCTGGGACACATCCTGAGCTAAGAGAGGTGTTCATTAGTAATAAAATACTTGCTTCAACTGATTCGAAAACATCTCTGTGAAGGCGAGAGGGAATGCTGTCTGAGGTGCAGTTTGTCGGCCGCAGGTGCTTGACAACATCCGGGATATGTTTGTAGGCGATCTAACAACCACTTGTTTGTTATTATCTTTCAGAAAGCACTGCAAGGTGAGGGTGAGAGTAAAACAGAGGACGTCTGTGTGAAGACTGGCTGCCAGTTTGGATCTTAATGGTGCGGACTAAAATCTTAGAGCAAACACAGCCCAGAGAAAAGCACCAGAGTGACAACATGTCGCTGAAGAAGATCCTTCTTATGGATGAAAGGTCAAATCACAAAAAACTGTGTTCCCTCAGCGGTCTGCTGGGGGCTCCTGTTGACTCAGAGCTCCATGTTGATGTCTAACACTTGTTTGGCAGGTCAGATCGTGCTGATTTGTCTGTGACTCTGCACTACTGAGGGACCAACAAGCTGTGTCTGATAGAGAGGTTGTGGTCAATTTAGTTTATGTGGATTTTTCTGCATGCTTTGTACAGTTGCATTTAAATATGTCCTCTTTTATGGGTTCTATTTTTATCTGTTCTAATTTCTTTAAGATTTCTTAGGTACACTACTAATGCTGCCAGAGTGTTATATATTAGGACTATCAGCCAAGCAGCTCTCCCTGGGTATTTAGACAGCATTCACTTTGGAATTAGAAAACTGACTATGATTTTTGTTTTATATTATCCTCTATTGTCTTCTTTGAAATCCACACTAAAATCAGGATGTTGTAACTACTGTATGACTTTTGAGTCTCTCTAATAAACTGTGACTTTTTTACATCAATGTGAATATCTGTAAATGCTTATATGTGACTAAGTCAAAAATGTAATGAAGCTTCAATGAATATCATTTTTCTTCCATTGTTTCATGGCATATTTTTTATTGACCTTAAGCTTTGGTATGAGAAACAAATGTTGCAATAGATTTTTGCAGAAAACTCAGCCTTTTGAAACGTTTTTCAAATCAGCTCATACAGCAGCCACCGAGCTTAACGTGCTTTGTGCCTGCCTGCCTCCGAGCAGAGGACTGGCACTGGTGTTCAGAACCAGTCATGCTACTTATAAAGGAAACTACAGAGCGGAGCTAAATGAAGTAATTGAATGGGAATGTGATTTGGTGAAAGTCAAAGCAGAGATACCGTAACTAACAAATAAAAAGAAAATGATCATATCATATCAAATGCATAAATCTTTTTAAAACATTAGGACAGATTGGCAAATAATTAAGATTTAGCTGCACAGGTGGATGGGAGCGGCATGAGCCAATTATAATTATGGTGCATCATTTGGGATTTCATTTACTCTAATACACCTTATAGTATTTATACCTAAACCTAAATATTAGCCACAACTTTGACATTTATATCAGCTCTGGCGATCATACATAACATATATTTAAAAGGTCATTCATAGATGATGATCTAAACCTGTTTTTAAAATTGCAGATGAAAAAACATTGCCCTTGCAGTGTTGGATATTCAAAAATATATTTTGATAATACCATACAAATTAAAGAAAGATGCACATGTTTGGCTGCCTTATCAGTGCATCCTATATAGATTACATCTCTAGCTGCTGTATTACTTTGACATCTAAATTTAGTTTCAGCAGAAAACACAAGTTGTTGAAATATAACCTCCTGAGTTTCCTGCTCTATATAAGACAAGATACATCTTTACAAGCACATATGCATTAATATTGTCATTAGAAAGCCTCATATTTACATAAACGTGTTATAGTATTACACCCTCGAAAAAATATGACAGACATTTTGGGCCTGGTCTTTGACTTCATACTTATAAAGTGTTATTGGAAATATAACCATAGATAACACTACACGAATCATGCACACTGTCAGAAGGCTCAAAGCTTGATTTGATTTCAGAGAACATGAGTTGTTGTGCCTCAGATGAATCTTCCTCCACGGTGTGATAAAAAGTGTTGTTGTTGTTGATGTATGTCATCTGTTGGACGTCTGGTCTGTCTCTGAGCACTGTGACTGACTGTGTACAGTAGCCTGTTTCAAGCAGGACACTGGAGAGAGATGTGATTGGAGCAGAGGACTGGGGAGCAGGAGAGGGCGGTGGGTTCAGGGGAGCAGGAGGTGGCGGTGGGTTCAGGGGAGCAGGAGGTGGCGGTGGGTTCAGGGGAGCAGAGGGCGGTGGGTTCAGGGGAGCAGGAGGTGGCGGTGGGTTCAGGGGAGCAGGAGAGGGCGGTGGGTTCTGGGGAGCAGGAGAGGGCGGTGGGTTCAGGGGAGCAGGAGAGGGCGGTGGGTTCTGGGGAGCAGGAGAGGGCGGTGGGTTTAGGGGAGTAGGAGAGGGCGGTGGGTTCAGGGGAGCAGGAGAGGGCGGTGGGTTCTGGGGAGCAGGAGAGGGCGGTGGGTTCAGGGGAGCAGGAGAGGGCGGTGTCGGTTCAGGGGAGCAGGAGAGGGCGGTGGGTTCTGGGGAGCAGGAGAGGGCGGTGGGGTTCAGGGGAGCAGGAGAGGGCGGTGGGTTCAGGGGAGCAGGAGAGGGCGGTGGGTTCTGGGGAGCAAGAGAGGGCGGTGGGTTCAGGGGAGCAGGAGAGGGCGGTGGGTTCAGGGGAGCAGGAGAGGGCGGTGGGTTCTGGGGAGCAGGAGAGGGCGGTGGGTTCAGGGGAGCAGGAGAGGGCGGTGGGTTCTGGGGAGCAGGAGAGGGGGGTGGGTTCAGGGGTGCAGGGTCTCTCAGTGCAGATGTTTCCTTCAGAAGAGGTCTACTGTTCAGGATCTCTATGTCACAGGTGCAGCACTCCTCCACCTTCAGAGCCTGCAGCCTCTCCCCAGTCTGTGCAAACAGAGGGGATCTTAATGATGCAAGGCAAAATGTGTGCATTACATTAAAGGTTACCTATCATGCTTTTTTTAGGCATATATATACAATTATCTGTATATATTTTTTATATATCTATATTTTAGATATATATATATTTTTTATATATCTATATTTTTTTAGGTCTCAGATATATACAAATATATAAAAGACATGTCTATGATGTGTTTTGCTCAAAATACCAAACAGATCATGCATTTTAGACATCCCTCATACCCCTCTATTTCAGCCCTGTTAGAGAACTGCTGATTCGGGGTCCTTAGCTTGAAACAAAGAAAAGAAAAGAGGAGCAGCTTGTGCCTGCTCAGAATTCTACGAGATTCAGCTAAATGCTGCCGTGATCATGTTCCAAACAACAACAAGGATTACTTCTGAAACAGCATGGAGCTCAAATGCTTTTCTCTTGCGGGTTTTCTACAAGGTGAGTTCGTTTTTTTATTTCCTGCTTTTTTACACATCCAGTAGCTACAGGTTAGCTCTGAGTGTTAGCGATGCTTGCTAATGTAAACAAAGACCATATTACATTACATGTTATTTCTTAGACGCTTTTATCCAAAGCGACTTACATACATTCAGTACCGTGGACAATCCCCACAGGAGCAATTTGGGGTGAAGTGTCTTGCCCAGAGACACAACGACATGCTGACTGCAGTGGGACTCGAACTTGCTACCCCCCTGATTCGAGGTCCAGCACTCTATCCACTGAGCCACAGCCGTTTATAATATTACGACCAAAACTGTGGGGCATTGTTTCTGATAGAAACGTCTCTGATAGTGCTGCAGGTCGACATTTCCGATATTACATCATATCGGACGCAAATCTGGATCAGCTCCGTTGTACCCCCATTTTTAGAGATTTGGGTATGGAGGAAAAGAGAGAGGGATTTTGTTTTCTGACACTTTGTGAGTTTCCCTGACACACCGGGGACACATTTATGTATAAAATACATTAAAAAGTGCATTTTGCATGATAGGTCCCCTTTAATGTACACAATGTTTATAATTATTTCGTTTTTCATTACTGCACATATTTTATTCCAATTCTATTTCTCCAATTTCAATCATGTTCAATGTAAATACTGCTATATTTGACTATATAGTTTATTATGGTTTTCTTCAAATAGTTTTCTATCTGTGTTTTTAATTATCTTTCAACACCAAGTCAAATTCCTCGTATGTGTTAACCTACCTGGTATTAAACCTGTTTCTATTTCAGATTCTGATTCTGAAAACACATGGGTTAACTACGGCCTGTAAAGTAGTGGCTTTGTTGTGCATTTTGCTCCAAAAAGAATTTCTAAGGAACTTTCTGTGTTCACTTCTATTCAGACTCCAAGTTTAAAATGGCTTCTGTTAATCAGAAGTTTTTTCACACCTTGAATTGCCCTGGGTAACATTTGAATTGCCATTGTCAGAGAACTACGCCCATAAAGTGGTCGAAGACAGTCCAAACATGAGAAACTCGCCCTAATCCAAAACTAGAGTGTGTGTTACAACTCAAATGTGTTAATGTCAGCAATTATAAAATCAGGAATTGTTCATAGACCATTTGGGAACTGTATTGATGAAATGAACAATGCATGGGAATAAATAATAGTTCTGTATACTCATGATTTGACTATTTCAGTGGTGTGTTTTTACCTCGTGCAGGAAACTGTCTAACTCAGGAGTTTTTATGTTCATACCAGCCGGGTAAGCAAACATCTCTCTCAGCCCGCTCTTCAGACTGGAAGAGAAACAGAACATTAGAAGATTGAAGAGAGAGGGAGAGATTCAGCATTACCATTTATAAATTAACATTTAGGTGAAGGTTAAAAGATCAAACTACTCACATTTTTCTTTGAGGCCACAGTGCAATGATGCAGCCCAACAGTAACAACATGGGAGTCAGTATCTTGGCCAGGTGAGTAGAGTCTTCAAAGAGAGAGAAAGGATGAGCAGTTGAAGTCATTTATTCAAGTCTTTGTAATGGAATCTGAGAACTTTTTAAGATTGAATGAGAAAGGACAATAGTTAAATCAATAAATGGTTGTATATCCAGGATTGCACCGGACGTTATGGAGCTCACAGTTGGTGTTGGTCCTGATGGTAATACTGGTGGATTGTCCAGGCCCCCCCTTAGTGAGAGCGCTCACAGAGAAAAGGTAGTTGTGGTCTTGCTGAAGACCCTCTATGGTCACAGACTTCCTCCGAGGGTCTACCACAGACACGTTGAACACATCTAGATGTACACAAGATCATAAATGCCTTGTTTCATGTATCAGTCATTTACAGGCTTTCTTTTTGAGCACAGAAACAGATCAAGATGAATAATTATCAACAGTTGAAGCTTTCCTCCACACTTACTTGCAACATGACCTGGCGGTGTATCAGTCCCTGCCTCTTGTCCTGTTACCAGGTAACCAGTGATGAATGCCGTGTGAGCCGGATCGTCCTCATTGTAACTCCATTCCAGAGTCACAGATGAGGAAGTACTCTGAACAGGTTCAACCAGAATCGGGGACTGTACAGATTCTGAGGAAAGTCGTTTTTTGAGGAAGGAAGACAGATAAAGTTAATTAGAATTAAAACAGCTGACTTTAAGCAATAACTAACCTTCCTAAATGATACATGAATCTAGAAGGACATTTCATGTTACACCTGCATTGTTGTGAAGATGTCAGAATCTGCTGCAAAAGTTTCAATTTGATATCTTTTTTAATTTACGAGATGAAAAGAAACAGGAAACATGATGTCTTGTGTTTAGATGATCTGGAGAAGATCTTCTGATAAGGACATCCGTGTTAAATGTAGCTGTCATGCTTTATTAAATTATTTATTTTGAAAGCATGCACTCAAAACTTGTCTGTTGAGACCTCAGCTCTAAAAGCAGACCTCAGACTTTTGTACTAGATGACAGAACACCTGATTAACCTCCTAAAGAAACCCTCAGAGCAACATAAACACAAATCGAGACAGATTTCCAGAACAACTTATGAATCAGTAATAACACTCACTAAGCTCTTGTGAGTATCCCATCTGTACTTCCAGTAGTCTGTGTCCATGTTCTGTGCATGCATATATATTAAATGTATACTTACAACCTGCTTTGAAATAGCCTGCAAAATAAAGAAGTGACCGTCAATAGCAACATTTGAAAAACACGTGAAGGATGCATGTGCAGGAAAATACCAACACAGAGACTTACTGGCAGGTAGGAACAATGTTTTGTTGCCTTGTTTCACATTCAGCCATTGCACATTACAAGGCACAGCGTTTCCCAGAATGCACCACTCCACAGTGTAGCCACAGGTGACTGTATCAAGCTCATCCCAGGTCAGATTAAAACCAGCAGGGCTGCTGCTCAAACGCCTCTTTACCGGGAGGATTTCTGGAGAGAGACATGCATTTTTAGACTGTGGCAGACTGTGGTGTTAAAGCAAGAAGAGTTTAAGAGACGGTCAATTCAAAAAGGAATATAGGTTTCATCCTACAGACATATTTAACATAAAAGGACTACTGGGGAGTCCAAAAATAGTAAAGTGTTAACTTAATTATACTAAAAACATTATTATTTATTACATTAATCAGAATTAGAAAACATTTGATCTAATCTAAAAACAAAAATCAAGTACCCCAATACATGTGGGGATTCAAGTTGGTAGGATAAAAGATTAAGAAAAAAACATTTACATACAATGTTAAGTTGAAAACTCAAACAATGAACCAAGAGAATGTCAGCCGAGTCCTCGCTGCTCACCATCGATGTCCTTCTGGGGGATGATGATGTGAGCTGGGATGGCCGAGCCGCTGTGGAGAAGAGCCCGGACCGTGAAGTCATACTGTCCCAGATTAATGGAGACCTGCGCCTGGGTTTGTCCACTGTCCTTCCGCTCAGTCCAGTTTAGACTTCCCTGCGACCACTGCACCATGAAACCTTTGATCGTGGCTGCTGAGTCAGGAACATCCTGAGAACAAAAGTGGGTGTGAAAGTTAAAAAATGCATCATGTGGTGACATTTATTTTCTATGATTTAACCAGACATTCTGTGCTGTTATGCCAAAATAGAAGTTTGGAGAATATTAGACAAGCATAGAGTCTCACATGAGTCCACAGAAGAGTAACTTGACGACTGTTTGGGTCGGACAGCTGCTTCATTCTCCTCCATACATCCAAGGTCACCAACGGATCTGAGGAGAAGACATGAAGATTATTTGTTTACGGCATTAAAATAAATGCCAACTATTTTAATAATGAATGGTTAGTATTTGGCATGCAAAAATGGTTGAAAATATCTCTTAAATATGGAGATTTCCTGCTTTTCTCTTTTTTTAAATTATGTTCAACTGAATATCTTTTGCTTTCGGACAGGCAAAACAAAGCATTTAAACACATCACCTGTGACTAGGAAGGGTATTTTTTTAATTATTTCCGCATATTTTATTATTATAATACGTTCCAAACCAGTACTTGTTCAGTCATTGTAAGTGCTAAAACTGTACAACTAAGGGTTTATTGCCCGGCCTTAAACCCACTTGTTGATGTGCCGGACTTGTATCATTTGCTCAGCTGACCATTGTCTTAACTGAATAACACTTTGACATAACCACACCCTTGTATACACCATCACACTACCCTGCTTATACACATGTTTAGTACTCACAGGTTTTGAAGGATCTGGGCTTGGTCCATTCCCCCCAGAGCCGGCCGTCCACAGAGCAGCGCACTCTGGTAGAGTAGGGGGTGTTAGGTAACAGATATTCCAGTGTGACTTTGCATCGACCACTCACACTATTGCACCTCAGCTGTCACAAACACACAGAAAGAATGATACAAAAAATGCAAAAAGACAATTGAATACCTGCAATATAAACGATTAAGCATTAAACACACTTTGGTGGCACTTCCTGGGTCTGCAGTGACCTGACAGAGGAGGTTCAGTCGGGTCAAGTTCTCATGTACGATCCAGAACACGATGATGTGTGTCGCCCCGAGGCTCACTCTCTCCAACTCCACCACAGGTGACACTAACGGCAACAAAAAACACACATGAATTAACATGTGTGATGAGGTTAATCTTCAAGTGATAATAGCAACAACATAATGTGTGTGTGTATTGTGTTTAGATGCCTGTGTGGCCTCTGACCTCTGTCAGAGATGTTGAAGCTGTAGCTCTCCGTCTCCTCTCCCAGCAGGTCCTTCACCACCACACGGATGTTGTATTCCTTCAAGTTAGGGATGGCGGGGAAAGTACAAGACGACTGTTCACAGTTGATGGGAGGCTGGTCTGAGTTGCTGTGTTTTCAACAACAAACAAGAGCATGAGAAGAGACTAATAAGACATCCTTCAGAACTCTTTGTAGGAATTGTTTGAGAACAAACAGCCTTTCCTGCCTCTATTATCTTGTTTAGAGTGTCCTTTCAGCCTGTCTGCACAATGGATCCAACAAGAGGCTTTGAAGCTCTTTGATATTTAGGGTTGCTTTTTCATCTGTATGCAGTAGGAGCCATTTTATGAGTAAAATAGAAAGGTGTTGCTCAAGCTGAACTCCAACATGCAGGTTTGTCAGATGGCAGTGATAAGAAGAAAATGCAAAAAGTAATACATTTGTGATACACTCACTCTATGTGAAGAGTGCGTGTTTGCGTGTTGCGGTCGTTCTCGTCTCGTTTTCTGCCTGAATCCCAGGTGCAAGAGACACTTGTCATGTCTGAGGTCACACAGCTGATGTTACTGGGCTTCTGGGGAGGAACTACAGTGTATGAAGAGACACATACTGATGTAAAAGTGATCTGGACAAAACATTACAAAAATATTTGAAGAAAGTACATCAAAACATTTCAGACTTACAACTGATAAAGTTCCAGACATCACTCTGCCTGCCTGTTGTGTCATTGCATGAGATTAAAAGGTATTTGAAGCGCACTGTTGGGATCTTCAGGTTGTGTACAGTGATTGCCTTGACCCCCGCTCCAATGCTCATAAGAGGGTATTTGCTGTGGCTGAAGGACATGCTGGTAATATGGACTCCTCTAGGGGGAACACAGCAGAACATGGCGCTGGAGTTCTCTCTCAGCACCCGATAGTTGGGGAAGATCCTTGTCTTATCCTTCGCCTGGGTTCCTACAGGTCACAGAACAGAGAGATGAGCGGGGGTGCTGTATCTTTGACCCCTGGTATGTTCTGGGGCCACTGAGGGTGAACATAATGTTGCCACTGTGCATTGCGACAGATATTTGCAGTTGAGAAACACTGATATAAAGATTGGTGAAAAGGGAAGTAAAAAAAGACACATTCTTACCGAGTGAACACTCACTTATACGATGTGATGATTTTATCAGTGAAAAAGTGCACATAAGAAACCAGATTTATATAAATGTATAAACTTTGTTTAACTCATTTACACTGACAACTGACAAAAGCACAAGAGTAGCATCATCTTACTATTGTTTGTTTTCCAGTTACTCCAGGGACTCGGGACAGACTGATTATAGAATCGTCGTATCCTGACTGAGTGATCGACACAACCCAGAGGCACGCCTGAGGTCCATGTCCATGCATATTCCACTGGATCCACAGAAAAAATACTCAGATTTTTCTAGAATAGTAAAAATAGGGAAGAATTGTACATGGATTTCACAGGAGCATTTGATTATTTATAAAAATTCCCACACTAAATGCTGTTATATAAGTATCATAGTCCCAAGCAACTATAGAGCTTTTTAATAACACAAAACCCAGACTACTAGTACTCACATTATAAATAACAGTGTGGTTCTCGGTGCGGCCGATATGGATCTCATAAATATCTCCCACTAAGCTGCTGTTGTTCACCATCCAGTTCACCAAGAGGCTCTGCTGGTCACCCAGAGCCTGCAGATGAGTGATTCTCGGGCTTGGCGGCTGACCAACTGACACACAATAAATGTAAAGTACATCACATTTTGAGGAGTTTCAATGTGGGAGATGAGATTTACATCAAACTCACCAGAGTTGAAGCAGCAGCCACTATGAGCCTCAGAAAATATGAAATACAATCCAAGCAGGTCAATAAAACATGTTATAAAACTTAAACACCTTTCAATACAGAAATGTTTAAAGAAAAAACAGTGTGCCATGCTTGCCGTTCAGCACACACACTGACTGGAAGTCCCACAAGTCAATGGTCAACAGCAGCCAGCCTCCAATACAACCACGTTTTTAATATGAAGCAATAATGAACCAATGAGAGGTGTGCTACACTAATGTTGCCCTGTAGTGTATTAGGCAAGGCAAATTGCACACACACACACACACAAAGATGTTTGATACAGTTTTATAGCATATCCATATGGCACAACACAATTCTGATTACAGCGATTACAAGAGAACACGTATCCTAACCAAAATATTATTAACGTTGACGGTGCATGAAGCAATACCACAATAAATTATCAGAAAAGGTGGTGAACAGAAAACATACAGCCATTTTTTACAGACATCACTTTCAGTATTAGATAGCAAGATTTTTGGCACTTAAGTGAGAAAAAAAAAGAAGAATTTAAATGATTCTTCAATCAAAGTGTGCATAGGTAGCTTTTCAATAAAAATATACATATATTTACTATTTATACAATAATGTCAGTTTACTTTTATGTCTTTAAGATGCTCACAATCCCTTATAAATATTGAGAAATAATAGCACTCTGTTATAGTTTGGGGAAGGGCTCGTTTGGCTTTTCAAATATTTCCTTTTTTTAAGTGCTCATGTGAAAACAACATCAATACTTGTGTCCTGATATCCTGGTACTTTAAGTCCCAGTGTTGGCACTAAATGTACCTCTTCCATCAACGAAGTTCAACGGATACTAAAAGGAATCATAGTGGAAGTCAAAACGTGGGGTGCAAGTATCAGAGCTGGAGAATTTGTTTGCAGAAAGGCACAATGGTTTCATGACACAGGAAGAGAATAATGAATATCCACCCCATACACTGATCAAGGCACAAATACTGTATCTGTGTAAACTCCCTCCCCGAAACTATTCCCTTGTTTGATTATTCAGGTTTTGAAAACAAATGCACACGTATACACAAACACATATAAGCAACAGATATATTATCTTCGGTCCAGTTAGCTCAGGCAGCTTGGCATTGCTCTTTCTCAGAGATAAACAATGTTCTCCTCGACTCCCTCCTCCCCGTTCTGTCCTTCAAGAGAGAGGTAGGCCTGTGGGGGAAGGAGGGGGGTAAGAGAGGGAGACGAGGAGTAGCCGTCCTCATAAAGTCTGTGACCTGTGACCTCTGACCTCCAGGGACCCGGGGATGGTCTGTCAAACGACTGGCTGAAGTCTGCTGAAAGAAGAAAGAAAAGCTTAAGATCGTGCTTTGGAGGGAGGTTATGGAACTGAGATGAGATTAACATACAGCATTATGATGGACACATGTTGCTGGGGGGCGGCGACAGACAGCTGCACGTCTTTGTTTTGCCGTCCACTATATACCTGCAGGAATATGAAAACACTCACTGTTGTTGGTCATTTGTGGCTGTGCAGTGATCCTGCTGCTGAAGGGGTGGACATTCAGGGGCCGGGGGACCGCGTGTGGGTTGCTGTAGTTGGGGTATGTGAGACCCTCCGCGGGCTGTTTGCTGTGGGCCTGGCTCAGCAGGGTGTTGAGGCTGTTGTAGAGGCTGGCACTGAGGCCCAGGTTGGCGGTGTAGCTGGAGCTGCGCAGAGGGATGTCCTGGCTCCTCCTGGGCGCAGAGAGCAGGCGCTGGTTGTTGTTGGGGGGCTGGTGGAGGCGGTTCTGCTGGAGGGAGGCCAGTAAAACCGCCTCGTTCTGGAACACCGAGTTGTTTCCATCCAGGCTGCCTGAGCGGCTGTGGCTGGGCATCTGGGACTTTAAAACAACACAAAATATGAGATTCAAGTTTCAAGGCTTTTATTCTCATTCGTACATAGCTGCAGTGTAGACAATTCAAATCGTAGGTCACATGCTCCTCCAACAGTGCAACACAATAAAACAGATACAATAGTGCAAGTAAATCAAATAAGATAGAATATAATAGAAATAGTGCAGAATAGTCTATATACAAGTAATTGGAATATTGATATATATAAGTTGCAAACAGATGAATGTTATGGACGTTCTGAGGTGGCATGTTTTGCTTAACAGTGTTTTGTTTTTTTGCGGTATTAATGCTCGGATCTACATAAACAATGTTCCTTTCCATTTAACTTATCCTCCTCTTCCACCCCCCCAACTTCATTACATTACATATCATTTACCTTTTATCCAAAGCAACTTTCAAGTGCAATGAAGATGCAAACTCAAAATAGCAAGAATCATGGAGGTTCATTAGCTTTTAAAAGTAAGAGCCACATACAGAAGCAAGAAGTTTATTTTTATTTTGTCATATTGGCCAGGTTCCTTTCTTACCTTGTATACGTCCAGCGGTATGCTGACAGGCAGGCTGCTCTGGCGGGTGTGTCTCCACCTCTGCAGCTGCCTCTGCTGGGCTTCGATCTGCTCCTTCTCCCGCTCCACGCTCCTCTGGCCCTCCCTCAGGCGGTCCAGGTTCTGCTGGTACTCCTGCAGCTGAGCCTCCAGCTCCTCTCGCTCGCAGCGCAGCCGCTCGGCCTCCAGGAGGCACTGCTGCTCCCGCTGCTCCAGCACACTCTCCTGCTCACACTGGGAACACATTCACAACAGTGCAGAGTTCTGTTATGTGTTTTTCTCAGTTCATACAGTACCATTACTACTATTAGCTATGCACGGTTAAAGGGTCCACTTATAACATTTTAGAAGCTTACTAGGATCTTATTTGTCTGTATTGTTCTCAGTAATGCACCTAGCTAAACACAAAACCAATGACAGCTCGATGGAAGAAAAGTACAAATTGGCTCACTCGTGTACATGTATTGGGATTATCATGGCTTGGCAATATTTATGATGGACCAACATGTTTTATTTCATGAAAGAAATTCAAGTATATGTGTTGCAAATGATTAGTACTAGTTCAGAACATAAGCTAATTGCTTACTTGTTGTTTCTCTCGAACCAGACACTCTTTGTCCCAGCGTTGCTGCTCCTGTTTCAGCTTCACATGGAGTTTCTTTACCTCATCCACCTCTTCTTTCTTCCTCTCTAAACCCTTCTTTTCCACATCCTCTTTCTTTTTATCGAGGCTTCTCTGCTTCTCCTGCTCCTGGAAAAGATCAGCAGCAGGTTAAAGAGGCAACTCAATTCTGGTCTTCTTAAAAACACTGATACACTAGTGTGCATGTAGTAAAGATGTGTATTTTAACCTGGATATAATGTGACTCATACCAGACTGTTTTGGAGGGATGAGAGGGTTCGGGGCTGAGGTCTTTCTCCTTCCTGGAGAAGGAGTTTCTGGACTTCACAGCAGCTGTCCTGCAGGGTAACAGCAGCCTGCCAACACAAAGAGGAGACACCTGATCACACTCCAGTTCATAATCCTGTCCTTTAAAAGCCAAATATTTACTTTTGCATTCGGCTACAGTTACTGACAACTGTGTGTCTTCTCACCTGCAGACTGTAGAGAAGCTGAGTCAGACCATGAACGCTCTCTGACACCTACAGAAAACGGTGTTATTAGCGGGCCACAATAATGCATATATATTGTATTATCATGGTTATTATTTGGTATTGGAACCTTTGAGAGTGTCCCTTTTTTCAGCTCGACAGCAGAGCTCCACACCGCGTTGTCCAGACCCGTCATCTCACTGTCTGATCCCAGAGAGGTGGAGCTCAAACTGAGGGTGCTCAGATAATCCGCTGTAGCAATGGAACAAGAAGTAGTCGAAATTAACTGCAGAAATGATCCAATAACAAATCCATGAAAATGTCAGAAGTGTGTGGTCTCAAAAGACTTTCAGAATGACGGTGTGAGTGTGAGACCCACGCTCAGAGGGAGACTCCTGGATGCTGCTGCCATGGCTGTTGTAGCTGAAGCACTCTGGTCCTCGGAGCGGAGAGCTCTGACTTTTTACTGAAAGGCCGTCACGAGCCTGCAGCATAGTGATCAGGTTCTCCGCTGCAGCAGAAGAAAAGCGTGTGATTATTCAATGTGAACAAATGCTAACCAACAATGACAATAAAATAAACCTGCAGTGTACAATAGTGTTATAGTAAACTTTTATTAATTTTCAGCACTTTTATGTTGTTTTCTAAAATGTTATAATGATGCAGAATCATTATTTTTCAGTTAAGAGGTCTATTAGACAATTCTTATTCAAGAAAAGTGAATTATCTGTTTGTTAAAAGGCAGTAGGCTACTGACCAGAGGTTGCGCTAGACTTTTTCGCTGCCCGTCATTTTGACGGCCAGGATCGTAAAATGTCCGTCAAAATCAATTAGTACCCGTCGGTCTGTACACAACTCTGCTGGGGGGGAACACGCTCGTGAACTGTCAACGGGGGGAGGGGGGAACGCACATTCGTGAATTGTTAGCGCCGGTGTTATGCCGTGTTATGTATGCCCACTGCACCTCGCGGGAGCGCGCCACAGCGTAAAGCAAAATCTCACAGACATTTCAATGATTTGTAGCCTACGGCAAAGTTAGGTTTGGAAACTATATCACTTCCTTTTTGGCGGGCATGCATAACACCGTGACCGGAGCCTCGCTGCGGGGAAGCTTTGGCGCTGTTCTGAGTTTGTTCTGACTGCTTTCAGATTTGTCCGTCATTGTTAAAAATAATCCGTCATAGACGGAAAATATTCGGTTAACGCAACCTCTGGTACTGTCTGACATACTTTGAAATTCTGCATCTCATTTGATTAAAATAAATTCATGTAAACACAGGAGTTTTCTCTAACTCAGTGGATTAAAGCTCAAATTAGGCTGAAATACGCGGGGAGAAAAACTCAACAATGTTAGATGTGTTGAGTGTTTGACGCAGGTTTTCCTCATATGGACTTGACTTAGTCTGCTCACCATAATAGATGTATCCTAACCGTAAATACATTATGTGAATGGTGCAATCACGTTAAGCAGCACCATTAGACAGATCTCTTCATTGAGCACCACCAAAGCAGCCTTCTCACCTTCTCTGAGTGCAGCTGTGAGCAGTGAGGAGGCCTGCGGCTCAGTGTTAGCGTCAGGTTGAACCAGAAGATGGCGCTGCAGTACAGGCTCTGGTGAACACAGGGTTAACTCTGTCAGCTCGGCATAAAGCTGCAACTTCTCCTCCAGGCTGCTGCAGATCTGCTGGTCCTGACTCAACAGGGTTTCTAAACAAAACAAACACCGAGATTAGGACTTGATTATAGAACAGTGTCATGTTTCATATTTAAAGACAGGTTACAGATGGAATGTGCATCTTTAGTTTCACCTTGGAACTTTGTGATCTTTTGAACTCTCACTTCTGCCACCCGCCGGGCCTCCTCTGTCTCAGCACTGTGCTCTTCCTCCTCCTCTTCCTCAGGACAACTGCAAGATAAACCAGTAGGTTAGATAATGAGTAACACACACACACACACACACACACACACACACACACACACACACACACACACACACACACACACACACACACACACACACACACACACACACACACACACACACACACACACACACACACACACACACAGAGATTCTAAGTAGAATTTCAAAAATTCGCATACCTGAACAAAGACACACTGTAAACTTGACGTACGCACACACACCTCTCTACAGCTTTTCGTATGTGTCTCATCCATGCATTCCTCTCGTCTCTAGTGGTGGTGTGAACTTCATACATCTCTGGTCCCACTGAGGAGGCGGAGATGAGGAACATTCCTCTCTCCTCATTGGCTACTTCTCTAACAATGAGCTTCTGCAAAGGGATTACAGGAGGCTTCTGGTCCTGGAGGAGCAGATAAAACCATGAAGACGGTAAATGGAGGAACAGAACTGTATAGGCAGCAGGATCATGTTTTTCATTTCAAAGAGTTCTACAAGTCAAGGCTTACCACGGCAGCAAATACCAAACGTTGATCTTTCTCTTGAAGGAAAACCAGAACGTCTGTGAGCAGCAGAGCCAAAGTATCTGAAAACAGAGAAGTAGAAATAAATGAAGGATGGTTGTCTGTTAAACTAAGAAGGTTTTGTGGCACAGATGATCTCACACACACCTTTCAGACGCCCGGTGGCAGTCTTCCAGAAGACCAGCCCTTTATAATGCAGCTCCCTGTGTTTGCTATGCAGATCCTGTTTGCGAAACACCTTGTCGTTCTTTAGCTTGGCGAAGCTCTTGTTCTCCAGCCGGGCCAGCACTTCCTGCATCTCCTGACACCTTTCATACTTATTCACAGTGAGGTCCACCGCAGCGATGATGTCGCGGATCTGAGCCAGGGCTCTCGACAGGTCAGAGTGCTCCTGACCTCCCTCTGAGAAAGAGTTCATGGAAGGGTCACATTAAAATAATATTTGACCCTGTACAAAATACAGTTGCTCAAAGAGGCAGAAGGTGAAATAATTTGTTAAAATATACATTGTGGCTTCTTATATAGTTCTCACAAAGCAAAGCCAGCTTATATTGTGTTGACAGAGAATTGGTCCTTCAATAGACTTTTTATTTGTCAGACAGTTTATAGATTTGTTTAGCTTCACGGTCAGCTGTGTATTTCTTCTTACTCTCTAATGCTGGTTTATTTCTATTTATTTTTCTATTTTGAGATGTTTCTATTTTAGAATTGTTATTATGCAATGCCTTGTTTTGTTTTATGCTGCTGGAACAAAAGAAATGGGATTAATAAAGTACATCTTATTTCCTCTTTATTCATAGATGTGTATATATAGAGAAATGTTCAGTAGAGGTTAGCTCTCTGATTACATATCAAATATTACATTACATTGCATTTAGCTGACACTTTTGTCCAAAGCGACTTACAATAAGTACATTCGACCAGGAAGACACAACCGATATACAGATAGGATTGAGTGTTTCATCCATTCATTTAGTCATGGAAAGAAAATATCTCTCAAACAGGCTTTTAAAAACAGAAACATCAGCTAGCACTAAAAAAAAGAGGGCAATCTGATTTGTAAAATATCCTCCCTTTTTGCAGTATGACACTCATGTCATTGTCAAGCAAAACTACTTCTGGACTGGCCTGAAATATGCATTGTTACAGCAAATACTTGGATTTTGAGACACTTTCCTCTGCAAGAGCAAAACAATGTAAGAGTTGCACATGTGTTGGTTTTGTGAAGGACAAAGTAGAGCTGACGTACCCTGAGTGTAATGTAATATCCTCTCCAGCAGGACAGGGTACTTGGTGATGCGCTGAGTGACCAGCAGGATAAATTCTGGCACCTCTCTCCGCCGGACCAGAGTGTTATTGCTCTGTTGCTGTGAGCAGAGAGGTTAACACCAAATTAGTACATTCGCAATCCAATGTTTTGTTTTACTCTCCTTTTTTGCAGAACGCAGGAGCTTACTTTGACAAAGTTTTGCAGTTTTTTGTTTTGCTGCTGCAGCTCTTTGAAAACATTGACGGCATCGGTGTGATGGCTGCAGAACTCTCCGTACACCTGCTTCATCTTCTCAGCGTTTTCCTCTGAGAACTGAGAAAGAGTTCATTAGAGGTTAACTTTAGAAACTGTGTTAAAGTACATGAATCCATCTTGACCAACCTGCTGAAGCAGAATATCTCCAATGTGATGGATGAGGTAATTCCGGGGGTTCTCAGGTTGCGTTGCAGCTTGTCTGCGTTCCTGCAAGGCTCCGAAGAGGTTTTTGTGAAAAAGCAGCAGGGGGTCCAGGCAGGGAAAGATCCGGGCCACGCAGTCCAGGTCCAGCTGCAGCTCCTCCAGCATGCCTCTCCTGAACACCTCGGACATGACCGTCAGCGTCTGGATGTGGTGCAGCTCGGTCTGCATCAGCTCTGTATCGGAGTGATGATGGAATAACTTATGTAAACTAATGATTTGCTGAATTCAAGTGAAACAACAAGATGTGAGAATGGCCTTATAATTGCTTGAGTAAATCATTTCCAAACAATTATCCTGGAAAAACATATATAAATATGAATCTAACGTTTTGTGGGCTTCCAACTTAAACCACAGTGTACATCATTTGTACTTATGTATTAATGCAATGTTATATCAATTCCAATGAAGTCCTCTCTGTTGAGATTCTAGAGCTCCACCCTGTTAGGTTTGACTAACAGTAAAAAATACCATCTTTAAAAATACATGCACAGATGATAACGCGTATATGAAATTCTTTATTAGGAAGAAATGTCACACCATAAATAACATCCTGTCGCTTAGTGGTGCGCCTGTCGAGCGGCCTGCAGAACTCCTTACTGACGGCCAGACTCCAGGACTCCACATCCAGCCCCAGCAGCTCAGCTGACAGGTCGCTCATTAGAGGAGGAGCATCAACATCTGCAGGGACACAAATCAGGAGCAATGTCATTTAAAAAACATCACAATCCACAGAGTTATTCTCGATGTTATGTGTGACAAGTAATGATGCAGGCTTGTCCTTCTCACCCTGTGTGGTGATTGGCGGTTCGGTTGGCGGGGGATTCGCAGTGACAGGTGTTCCTTCATCAGACAACGAGTTGTTGATGCAAGCTGTCACACTGCACTCAGCGTCAGCCCCTGCTGCATCACTCAGCCGCCTGTACAGAGCAACATACGTTTCATAAGGTTTCCAATGGGGGGCATGATTGCAAGCTTAGTTTGATTTACTACTGTATTTCACCAATGAGTTCTTCAGCATTTGGGGACTGAAGACGAACCTCGCTGATATGTTGTGGAAAGCTGTGGAAGTATTCAGTGTTTCCCTAAATTCCAATTGAGGTGGAGAACAGCAATTCCTCAATTGGAATTTTTTTAAGTAAATTAAAGACCTATGTTTTTAATTTGGCTTATAATTTGGGGAATTGTCATTTTTGAGTAGTATAACTGTTCATGTTTTATTGTTTGATGGTTCAGTGATATAACTGTTTGTTTATACCTTATTTTTAATTATTTCCCTCACTTTTTATTGTCATTTTCTGTCACTCTGTAAGGCACTTTGGGCTGCGTCAAGCATGAAAGTTGCTATAAAAATGAAGTTTATTATTATTATACATTTTTTATACGCATTATATGCATTAAATATACATTTCAGCCCACTGAAATGTATATTTAATGAATTCATTTTGGTGGATTAGATCCACATTAATATGGATGTTGGATATTTTAATGTATAGTGTTAACAATCCTACCTGGTGTCTATAGAGATGGAGAGGCTTTTGGAGAGAGGGGCGACTGTTTCTCTCCTCTCTCTGGTTGTGGTGGGAAGTGTAGAGGAAGAGGAGAAAGCTTGAGAGTTTTCTTTCACAGAGTCTGAAAGAGAGACCAGGAAAAAAAGCAGGAAGAGGAATCAATCACACCTCAGATGTTTCCCATTACACAAATACCATACAAAAAAGACAATACTTAATTTCATCATGGATGTATCACTGAATATAACAGTTACAACATTATAAAGCTGTGGAGAGGTCCTCATCTTTCAATGTTGAACTTGGCATACGGGCTACAGCTGAGACAATATTGTTGTAATGGAATGGAAGCTGTTTGTCTTTGTCCTTGACACTTTGGTCAGACATCAAACATTCAGACAGGTAAAACACAGCGTTCTACTTTCAGGAATAACATAATCCTGTCAATGCAAGAGAAACACTCAAAAGCCAGATCCCCCACTGAGCTAGATTACAATTTAACTTGTTGTCTTCTAACCAGGGAAAGAACAGCAGGGAAGAGGGGAGAGTGGGGGCAATGGCTTTCTTAATCTACTACAGAAGAAACAAGGGAGGACAGGTACAAACTGAATCAAAGACCAAAGGAGGACGCTATGGAAGGGGGGGGGGGGGGGGGGGGGGGGGGGGGGCATGCTGTCATTTCTGACTCACTGTTTGGGAGAGACATGGTCTTGCTTTTCATCAGCATTGCATTCCTCTCCTGTGGCTTCTGAGGAAACACATGATCATATCGAAAGTTGTAAATCATAGTGTGCTTGGAATATTAAGTTGTTGTAGTTGCAACACAACAAATGCAGTCAATTCATACCCAAACAAAACCATTAAACCCGACATAGTGTTGTTTTACATCTTCAGTTTGAGACACATTCCAGGAGTTCCTTTGTCACTAGGTGTTGGAATGTATTTTTCCTTCCTCTAAGTCTGCCTCTACTTCAGTATATATTTATTTTTCTTGGTATTTTGCCTTTAAAGACATACAGCAGAGTGTGACAGGAAACACAGGGAGACAGAGGGAATGACCTGCAACAAAAGCTTGAATTGACCCTCGGAGGTTGCTGCCACACAGCACGCGTCTCAGATTATTGGACATGGCCGGTACACAGTTTCAGATTTGTAAAATTGGCCATAACAATTTGGACGGATACAGTATGTGATATCATTTGATTCAGTCTGCAAGCTAGTAGCCATATGTAAACACAACCCGATTTTAAATATTTAAAATGGGTACTGCACTTAGTTTTGCACTTCCAGATTTTGATTTGATAAATTGGGAATTAAAATCACGCAACATCTACAAATAAGCTTACTTACAACTCTTGTCATTCTTGCAAATACCTTAAAATTGAGTGATGAGTGTACTGTGATACTGCGATGTAAATGAAATGGCATCGATTATTGTACACTACAATGAAATAATTAGACGTATAAAAAAAAAGACTAATACAAAAAAAGAAAACCTTAAAATTACAAAACTGTTGTTGAAGAGGATGTGTTTTCAATTCAACTATTTTTAATAATTCATTATTTTTGCTTTTGGGTTTTGAGATGAAATGAAATGTGTTTTGTTAGTGGTTACCTTTCCGCAGGCGGCAACAGACTCTCGACAGCTTTTATGGACATTCAGGAAACAGCCTGCAGGCAAACACAAATGAAATCCCAGTTAATTTCATCAGTTAACTGATAATAAACAAAATTACCACATCTCTGGACTCAGAGTCCAGATGGCTGTCAAATCGGGATGCTCCTCATGATCAATGCTTACGTTGTGAGAGGAAGAAGACTTACTTCTGCTAAACAGAACATCAAGGCAGCATGCGCGAAGAGATTTACTCAAACTCTAAACAGTTCAGCCACCACAGGACGTAAAACAACAACAGTACTGACAGTACAATACTTACTGGAGCACTGCAGCAGCTCCTTCCCAGAAACAGACTTTTCACAGGCCACACAGAGAGCGGGACCGGAGGGAGACACAGGAACAAACTGGTGTCCGTTAGCCGCTCCTGGCTTCTCCTTTCCCTCCTTCACCTCTTTCCCCTTCACCTAAAACAAAAGTCAGAAATACTTTAAACATCATACAGCTGACATTAACTGCAGATAATCCAACAATACCATGCAAACAACCAGAGTAGAAATAACAAGACTTGAGCAGCAGGCACAAGGAGACATAGAGCGGTCATCTTCTGGCTGAAAAGCACCTGTTAACGTGGAGTTAGCTGAGATAAAGAGGCCCCCGAGTGAGCATTTATGTTTAGTTTATTAAAGTCCATGGGGACGTCTGCTTTGGTGGTGCTCTATCCTTAGAGGGGCATTAGGGGAATTCCTCTGTGCATGTGTGTGATAGTGCTCTGTTTATTTTCTTATCAACTTGACCAGGAAGTCTGAAAGTGTATGTTTGTTTGTTGACTTTTTGTGTGCATCACATGTCTTCGTACATACATGGAAAAATATTCTTGGATACACACACACGTGTTAATAAGATTGAAAGCGTACTATGGAATGTGTTTTGGCTCCTAATGCTGGCTGGAGGGGGGGTATACGCATTATGTAAGAGGATATTTTCACTGTGTCCCGTTGCTAAGACCTGAGGAGAGGGAATTTTCTCCATGGCCAAATAAAGGCACCGCACACAGACAACGGCTCCCCAGCAGAGGAATTCTGACCTGGCCTGTCTGAGAGGTGTTAAACCTTTTACTGCAGTACTCTGGGAGGCCTTCCTACTTTTACTACTTTTTCAAGGAAAGTTTAACTGATGGCATTTTTAATCTTAGCCAGCAGGAATCCCATCTTCCACTGTGTCGCCTCACCTTGGTTTTGTTCCGAGTGCTGGACATCCTGCTCTTGAGGAAGCTGAAGGTCCGGCTGACTTTGTACTTCTCTGACTCGACCTTTGATGGGATTATGTATTTATCCCACTCCTCATCTTCGATCCTGTGTCAGTGTGAACATTTCAGTGAGCATGCATCACAACCTCTACCATCATGTTGCCTATAAAAGACTGCGGCATTCATGCCCAACATGCACACTCTTTATAAAACAACTCGTTCTTTTTGTAGCTTTAATATACTAGGTAGAGGTAAATAATCTGGTACATTGGTGTCATGCTGGAACAAAAGACTGTCCAGACAGTGTTCCAGGACCACGGGTCGACATACTATTACTCTTAACAACATGCTTGGCATGCTTGCAAATCTCTATGGACTCTAGTGGATGCTATTTATAGTATGACCTTGACAAGATGCAATTAATAATGTGTCAACTATTTAAACATTACTAGTGTACTAGTAACATTACACATTTTGTCTGAAAGGTGACACAACGTAAAGAAGAGAAACATGCAATGTCACAGCAAACATAAAGTGAAACATGACATACAAGAAGTTAATGTCATGTACTTCTGAGGATTCACATATCAGATCAGATATCAAAGAATCCATGTGGTTAATAGGTTGCGTCGGGGAATAGTTTAACGGCGGGGTTAGGATGAGTTAAGCCACACATGCATGGCTGTGAGGGCGTTCTGGTGACAACGTACTCTTTGAGGAACTCTGTGAGGGTGAGGTGTTGGAGCGAAGCGCTGCTCTCCTCCTCGGCTGACTGGGCCCGCTTACGGAAACCCAAAATCCTGCATGGATATAACACACCTCAGAGCGGGTCGATGTGCTCGGCTCGTCAGGAGACTCACAATGTTAACATATGCGTGGCTTCTATGATGAGCCTACAAAGCATTTCTGGGTCAAATAAAGCTGTATGGAAAGTCAAATGACTACACGTGAGAGTCGTATGGATGTTTGTGAAACATACGGATTTAGTAAACATCAGAATGTTTTATCCAGTGGAAACATCCACATTTTGTTAACATTGAATGTATTGTCATTTTATGAAGGAAATACATAGTTAGTGTCTGATAAGGCTGGTGTTGTGGATATTGTTGTATTAATATGATCTTTTCTAATACAATAATGCTGTGATGTAATATGATAATCAAATTGCCTAATGTGATCTTCTAAAATGTTTCCTCTGTTAGCAAAGCATGGCAATTATCAAACAAAATGTATTAGCGCATGATACATTTATGAGGCAGTGAGATGAAACAAAAATGAATATGGATTGTGTTTTTTATGAAATGAAAACAAAATAAGCAAATGGGTCAAATGGTAGGATTGTAAAGCAAATGTAGTATTCCTGTTAAATCCCAAACACATACTACAATGTGAACATACTGCACATTCAGGATCGCTGAGGTGTTTTGGAAATGTTTCTGAGGCCTGGAGTGCGGGCGAGTTTTGCTGTTTACTCAGGGTTATTTTGAGGTTGCAATCAGAGTGTATTCTGGCCTCTGCCTTGAAACAGGAAGTATGTCACATCCTGCGCACTCAGACCCCGACCACAGGTTTAATACCGGAGATACACATACACATCAAAACGCACACATAAACATGTGTAGGCACATTTTGGCCAATCTCTAACTGCTGGTCGACACTAAAGAGGGAGGAAGAACAAAGTAATGGGTGGCTTGCCCCTTAACTCCTGAAATAACACACTGTGGTTTTACCTCTGTTCTCTGGTAGTCTCAGTCAGGGTGAATGCTCTCTGCTCTGTAAGGTAGAGAAACAAGGACAGGCAAATGAGTATCCAAAAATGCCTCTGAATAAGAAGACAGCAGTGTAGGTGTTAAGTGAATTAGCCCAGGGTGTTATAAAACATCATCCAATTAGAATTATGTTAGAAGCAAATACAAGAATCCCTGAAACAGTCTGGATCCAGCAAACGCCTACAGAGAAAGACCAAAGAGGTTATTCTTAGTCCAAACCCAGAATACACCAAAGATGGAAAATCCAAACAAAGATAGAAACACAATATGTACCAACGTGGAAGCAGAGCGGATCACTCACTTCATAACCAATTGCCTGTTGCGGGATTAATAAAGTTGTTGATTCATTGAGTAGAAAACAAATCCTTAGAATGATTAATAAGAGTTACATGGAGAATTATCTTTCCAAAGCCCCAGGATATTAAAAGTGTTGATCTTTTAGCGAAAAATATTGAAAATATTAATAATTGAATGTTTTCTCTGAGAGTGGTTTGTGGATTGAACAGTGTGACTGCTGAACCTGCCAATAGAAACTACATCTCACCACAGATAAGGGGCTGCACAATTTGGGCCACAATGAGAAACATCATTGTTTTGAAAATTGTGTGAAATCAAAACTTAGAAAAGTATTTGGTTCCACCAAACAAACCAGTGTAATTCAATCATTTTGCTCAATCTTGCATAAATACACTTTTAATTACACTGGGTCATGAGAAGTTTAAATATACAAGATATGCCTTTTAATCCTGTAGCTTTTGATGATCACAAGTTAATCCCACGGTTAACCAGAAAGAGCAGAAAGACACACTGTAATGTTTTCAGCAGCCACCCAGCAGCGTGGGCCGTTTGAAGCGGCCCTTGTACTTACTAACTTGGTTGAGACGAGAGAAGGATTTAGAGAGAGATAAAGCTTGAAGTAGAGAACGACCACTGCTGCTGAATGCACCATCTACACAGGACAAAGCATGGCCTTAATGCTGCACACGAGTACTGGAGCTGACATTAAACACACATGTACTTTATAGAGGTTCAGTTGATTTATGACACCTGTCTGGTCCCCCCCTCCCGGTTAGACATGTGGCACATGTGTCCGTTCAGCTGGCTCCAGGGAACAGAGAGGTTACAGGGCAGAGGGGTCAAAGGTCACTCACCTTCTGCCAGGTCAGTGATGGTTGCGTCTCGGTTTAGCAGAGGCCGTGACGGCTTCGCTTTGGGGGAGGAGTAGGAGTAGGAGCGCAGGCGAACTTCGGCTTTCTCTGGGTTCTGGGCGAGGAAGAGGATCAGATAGATGAGTAAGCAAACGTTTGCAGGTTCATTTCTGTGAACAGATCAACTCAATTTGTCTGACCTTTTTGTTCACATTATTGAGCTGTTGACAGACAGAGATGATCTACTGATGATTGTAGGGCAGGTCGTGTCTGATACATTGCATTAACTTCGTTTTTAGTGTTTTAGTGTGCTTTTTATATTGAAGAGAATAAAACCTGCTGCTAAAAATGGTTTAATAATAATAATGATAATTAAATGAAAGAAAGTCAAACTGTATCATGCCTCTTGAGCAATTGATTGTGTTTATAGAAGTAGTCTATCAGTAAGAATAAACAAAAACTTTAAAGTGTATTGTTTAGAGCAGGGGTGGGGAACCTTTTTCCTCTCAAGGGCCATTTCAATTTTTACAATATCCTCAGAGGGCCGTACAAATTATTGACCTCTGCTTAAAAATCACAGCCCATTCATTTCATTCTGTACAAAGAAAAAGCAACCTCTTAACCCAGATATCTCTCCATGACTCGCGCATGCATGCACGTGCACGGTGTGGCGTGACCACCAAAACAGAAAGATATGGACACAAAATGTGTGCAAATGTATTTAGTTTCCTATCCATGTGGACATGATTTAAGTGGGGGGGGGAACCTAACCTCCTCTAGGGGGGTCCGGGGGCATGCTCCCTATGGAAGATTTTTTTTTAAATGTTGAAGTTAAAAGCATCAATCTGGTGCACTTTGAGAGCAACACTAGGAGATCTATGAATATTTTACAAATCACTCTCCTTTCAAACTGTATTCTTGTTTATTAATAACAACTTTTTTACTGTCATATAGTATTTTGTACCTGTTTACTTTATTCTCTTATTTTTTTTACAACTATAATGATCAAGATGTGCCTTTACCTCACTGGTTGTAGAAAAAGCTTCTTATATTCGTTAGCATAGCTAGCTAACCAGATGCTAATAACAACAAAGTTATTGACTGTATGATCAGTGTGACAGATGAACAGATCGCCACTGGGCTTTCAACTAAAGACACAGACACGCAGAAACTGCGGCATGTGTACGGCTCCTTATGGGTACTGCAATTTCTGAAGTGCCGGAGCCACGTTCTGATTCTCTCCATCAGAACTGCCCCTGTCAGTCGAGACATATACCACGTGATGACTCGAGGGCCGTACCAAATTGTCTCGCGGGCCATATACGGCCCGGAGGCCGGAGGTTCCCCACCCCTGGTTTAGATGGTAATTAAGTCATAAAGGCAGTGTTTTAGTAGGAGGGTTAGTTTTGCAGTTGGCCTGTCTCTGCCCACCCGTGATTTCCCATGCATGGAGAGAAACACTGTTGTTGGATGTGTAATACTACATGTTTAGTGATGGTGTACCTTAGCGGACGTGTCTGTGCTGTCAGAGAGCGTGCGGTTAAAGTCTGGTGATGTGTCGAAAGAGTCCCTCTCCTCTCCTGAGCTGGAACGCAGGATGGACTGCTTCTTTACAGACGAGCAGGGGTAGGAATATCCCAGTATGTCTTCTTCTCCACTGTCACACTCCAAACTGGGACTGTTTTAACACACACACACACACACAAACACACACACACACACACACACACACACACACACACACACACACACACACAACATTCAGTGAAAGATCTTTGCTACATCTTTCAACAGGATTAGGCAAAAGGCTTCCTATGGTACAGTTTAAGATATAACACTTTGTTCAGATCTATGATGATGTCACAGTGTTGCACAGATAGGCGCAGATGATCTTGATCATAGTACAATCTTTAATCAGGTTTTGAACTGCTTTCCAGTGTCAGTGCTCACAGAGAAGATCCTGCAGCACTCCAGAGGAAACTGGATGGAATGTTTAGCAACTTCAACACACAAACAGCTCAATTGTGTCCTGGCTTCCTGTCACTTTCCGCACCTTCACAGACTACAATTACTGCTAAAAAGCTCATGAAAGTATTTTGCTGAAATGATGATAGATACTTTGTAAGAATGGGTTAGTTACAGGAAAATAACAACATGATTTTATTGTTCCATATATCAAGGAATCCCCTTATAAAGCTTGTTTGTTCTCGAATTTCAACGTAACTCATCCAGTTGAAAGGGCAGTCACATTTTAAAATTATGCAATTAAATATAATAGCTCACACTTTAAGTAGCGTCCTACCTCAGGCCCCGGCTCGTCTCGGTCAAGCTGCATCCTCTGCGGTTCAAAGCAGGAGAAACTGGCAGACCGGGCTGCGTCTGACGCCTCTGCGCTCCCTCGAACATACGGAAGGCGGAAGCCAGGGGGGAGGAAGGAAAAGACGGGGAGGAAGCAAAGGGACATGGGGGAGACATGCGAGGGGATGGCTCCCTGTGATTCTCCAGGCCAGGGCCTTGAATTCCCCTCTCCTCATTATGGGGTGAGGACGAGTGCCGGTTTTGGGAACAGTTCCCTGAGTCAGGGAGGGTCATGGAGAAGGGGTCCCAGCACGGGCTGCCAAGATGTGGCGCAGGGCTCCCTTCCTCCTCCCCGGGAGAGCGGTATTTAATGTCAGCTTCATCCACCTAAAACAGAAAAGTGAGTAAGTGAAGGCTGATCTGTAGCTCCTGTAATGCAACATTTGACATCATAAACCAGTTCATGACATAACGTCATAAACTATATAACTGATGTACATCTCTGTATAAACACTACTTAGAAAGAAACAGGCCACTCACCTGGTCCACCAGCATGGCGTTAGCGTACACCCTGTCTTTGCCATGTATCATCGCTGACAGTCTGGCGGCAGCAGCCATAGTGGGGGAGCGGGCTGGGCTCTCCCCTATGGACTGGCTTTTCTCTACAGAGAGAGAGAGGGGATTTTTCAATATTATATTTGGTTTCCATAGCAACACCAAGGAACTTTCTCACAAACACAGGAAGTAAATAGACATCCTGGGCAGTTGCATGACATTGTCCCTTAAGAGTGTGCTTCTCTCTTTGCACACACACGTGAATGGGTGTGCATGGAGTTGTGAGCGGTCATCTGTTGGCATGTTTCCTCCCCACCCTGCCTTCGATAGCCAGAGAGTGGAAATAACTCCCGGTGAGCACACAGTAGCATTGAGAGGAACCCTTTCAACACAGTAGAGGCACTGTGAGCAGCAGCCTGCTTGTGCTTTTTAAGCAGGGGGAAACAGTCCTGCTCTCAAAACACACACGGCCCCCTCTGGGACGCTGCTCTGGACCAAACACAGCTCCTCCACAACACAACTTCTTGGAAAGTGTTTCAGGTTCCAAAACAACCTACAGGTAGGCTGTAGGTCACTTGCCACAGAACTCATTACAACAAACCTTTGATGGCTTTCATTCAACACAGCTAACTATTGTTTTAGCCTAATTGGACAATGAAATTATTCACAAACAATAATTCTTACAGTGAATCAATTTGCAGAGATGGTTAATACATAAATTAAACTCATATATCAATTAAATGTTAAACTAAATGTAAAGTCCATACATATGATTGGCACTATACAGTATATAGTATAAAGCAGTGGTTCTCAAATGGGGGTACGCGGACCCCTAGGGGTACGTTGGAGAACTGCAGGGGGTACATGAGATTCATTTTATGATAATGAAAAAAACAAAACATAATTAATGCATTTAAACAAACTACTAATAGTAGATGAACTACTTTATTCAAAGGTATACAGTCATTCTGGATAATAAAATGGGAAAAATAAACGGGGTGCTCTCTTTTCCTCTCCTTCTCCTGACAGCCCGTCAGTCTCATGCAGCTCGCTGAACCTGTAATAAGTGACCCGACAGTAAAGAATAAATATATTATATATATATAACTAGTTTAGCTAGTCCCAGAGTAGATAAACTAGCTAAGTGTGTTAGGTCTAACTCTTAGTGTATTTTGCTCGGCTCAACAATCTGTCACAGCGGCGGAGCTGTGATCATGCAGAGCTGCGTGTTCTCCGTCAGCAGCAGCTGATCTGATCTCTCTCGCGTGACTTCACTCGTGTTTATGTCCAAATCTATCAGATCTAGCTAGTTCTAGTTAATGCCTGCTTATCAAATCATGGTCAAAATCCCATGCTCATAAAATGCTCATATTTTTGTTTCTCTTCATTCCCATAGCCCCAAAATAAATAAATATACAAATATACCAATTTTAGGAAAAGTTACGAAGTTTGAGCAGTGTGGGTTTTATATGAACAGAGTTACACATATCTCAAAACGCAAAGTGTAATAACTGTAGTTGCCTCCCTGTCAGAATGACAAAGCTCCTCAGTGAAGCTCAAGCCCATGTTTCTCACTACATTGTAAGTACAACTTATTAAAAAGATCAGTTCAATGCAACTAATGTCGTCTTAGCGTTATTGCATGATGTTAAAATTGGTTTGCCATGAATTTAGTGATGGATTGTAAACATTTGAAATGTAGCATTTAAGTGTTTCTCAGTTACAAGGTTGTTGTTTTAATAAATCAGACACTGATGGTGCAGTACTGTACCTCTTTATATAGGCATTTGTTTTTTTTAATTAAAAAACATTAACTCTGTCCTAAATAAAACTAAATGTGGAATTGAATATAAGATTTAAACCAGCAATAAACTACTGAAAATTAAGGTTTTAGAACAGCAGCTCCATAACAGCAACTATTCGGAGCTTCAGGTGTGACGCTGTATCAACTGCTGTTTAAAGATCAAACATGAACTCTGAAAGAAAAATGTAACGCCAACATCGACTAAGAGTTGTTTAAATGCTAAGATAAAGTTAGTTAGTTTTAACAGTTAGTTAAAAGGAGAATTTAAACATCTGTATCCCTGACAATTGGGAGGCTCCATCTGCAATAATGATAATGTATTTATAAGCACACCTGGCCCTAATGAAGAGGACTAAGAAACCTACATCACAAAATTCAAGGCACTAACTTGCACACGCTTATTGTACCATTTATAACAGTTTATTAATGTATCAGTACTGTTAACCTAATCATTTGAATTACTGAAGGGATTGTATCTAGTTTATTTTAACTTTGTGTAATTCTTTTGTAGTTTTGATCATTGACTTAAAAAAAATACTAAGATATGGATTGCAATACATTTCAGTGTTTTAAGGGTTTAACAGCATTATAAATGAGAGTTAACAATGTGCAAAGCATCCACTGGAAAAAATGAACTTCTCATTACATAAGCAACTGGTAGAAATCGTGCAGCACTCCTCACAATAATCCGAGGAGGCATCCTCATTAGCTCAGTTATATTATTAAGTTCCTAATGACAGTCTCTTCTTACCCTGGCCAAGCCATGCCTGAAACAATGCCAGCGGTGATAAAACATGTCTTTGGCACCGCTGTTTCCACCTAAACTCATCAAGCAGATATTAAACCCAGACTCAACATCTCTCGTTAAAAAAAGAATCCATAGTTTATCCATAGTTTCCAAGCTGCCGGCACCGCAGTGGGAGCAAAAAAGTAAATCAGACCAACAATTGGCTGTGCTTCCTGTAGGCAGGGAGTCCAATAAATCTGAGACTCAACAGGGACTCAAGCAGACATTGATGAGGACACCAGATGAGTCCGGTTCCATCCACAACAAACGATATGGAGAAGATATAGACTTAACATGAACCCCTGCAGGATACAGAACACACTCCACATCAATCGAAGAGTTATGAAGACTCTCCAGAACAGCATCATTAGTGTAATGTAAGTTACTTACAACAGCCTGAAAACATTGGAAAACATGAACAAAACATCCTGTTATTCTGTTACTTCTGGATCCTCTTAGTTTCGCATGGAAACATTTGACTGTATTTGAACCCGAACACAGACACAAAGTCACGTTACACCGTCTACTGTGTATTGTAGGATTAGTTTTACTGCAACATTAAATCAAGAGACTAGGTCAGATTCTGGATGTGGGTCAAACCACTGTTTGAAAGCAGATACAGTTTCATATAAACCCACTTAAGGAACTTGACGGACATGCTTAACAGAAAGGTTCTGGGCCAGGTCCAAAGCCACAGCTGGCTGCCACAGGCCCGATCATTCACACACCTCTGACCCATAAACACAGCCTCAGTGAACATTACTGTCAGGCGCTGCGAACTGTGTTTAACATAGGTTCACTGGGGGAGTAACAGACGACCACGGAGATCATATTTCTAACAAGTTAAAGCTGCACAAAATCAATCTTTCTGCAAGAGAAGCTGTCTTTATGGCTGGGACGGAGGTCGCTGTACGCATGTTACCATTTCAGAAGAGTTTTAAGGAATGCGGAGCAGGGCATGGGGGCTTTAGTCTATAGGATTTTGCTCACAGAAGGTATATTTGGAGTGATGTGATATTCAGAGCATGTCCCCGAGTGAGAGCCAACCCTATACAGTAGCAGCGCCCGGAGCAGCAGCAAAGAGAAAGAGAGAGAGCTGGAGCTTTACTGAGTCCCAGACAAAGACAGCAGTCAGTGCCAGGTTTCCAGACCAGGGCAGTTAAACACAGAAAGTGACCCTTCAACCCATGCACACCCCTGGGAGAGAGAGATCGAGGAAGGCAGGATGGAGAGGGGGGAGGCTGGGCTGTCACAAGGGCTCTTTCTCAAGGTTTACCCACTTTGGAGGCTGCTGGTGTGCAAAACAAAAATGTTCAAGACTAACAGAGAATCATAAATGTTAATTGCGTAAACACCTAGGCTTGTTTATTACGAGTATAATGGGGTCATTTGTCTTTTATGAAGTTAGTCGCTTTATAAGCACCACGCTAAACAACTGTCACTTTGGAGAACTTAGGAGCAGAGTAAAATAACAAGCAGAGCCTAAAAGAACAAAACAAAAAGCTGTAATACCTTATAAGAGGGGAGAGCTAATTATTTGATGGAGGGCCATTTAAATCATTAAAATAATTGTCCACCAATATCCACAAACCCACTGTGAGTTATGACACCTGCAGTCAAACATCCCAGTCCAAGCATCACATTGTGTGTTCCCCAAGTTGTTTACATTTCAGTGCGTCACTGGGCCCAAGAGATCCAGGAAGAGGTAAACTCAGAGTGAACAGCGATCAGTCCTTAAGAGTGGAGAAATAAACTTGTGGCTCCGAACACCTGAACACACACTTCACTTCGCAGGTGCCTCTTTACACCAGAGCTGTTTATTTCAGATTTTAAACTTTTGAAATCCACATGAAAATATATGGTCAGTTTATAAAAAGGTTTTTTTATATTGCCACTTTTCTACTCTTCAGCCGCATTGCACAGACAGACAGGCAGTGTTTATAAAATGTGCAGAAGTCAATCACAATTAAGAAGCAATAACATAGATAATCTGGCAGAGTTTTATTGTGAAAGATGAGGAAAAAGACCACTGGAGTCGAGCCATGATGACACATACATGGGAGTAACTTGATTTCACTCTCACTCTTCCCTCTAACAAACACAAACTCTAGTCACTTGCATACAAGCAATGAACTGTTTAACTATTCTGGCAAACACTTCAGCTGTCCCAACAAATGTGTTTTCTAACTTTAGGTACCAGGATTAACTTGATTTTGGTTTCTCAAGAATTGACAATAAACTGTGATTTCACATCAGCGCCAATGACACTTCAGTGACATATGAACACAAACTGATAATGATCGTCAACTGCAGGTGCCTGAGTATAGTGAGGTATATGAAGTTACATAATTAAGCATTGGGCCTTCTTTTTGCACTTCATAGACCCCAGTAGTCACATGAAGCCTCGACTCCTCAGCGGGGGCTCCCATACGCACACAACAGTGTGGAGTGAGGATGTCGAAAGCCCCTAACCACTCAATCAGCTTCGAGTGGACATCTGACATTCCCCAACATACTGTCAGATATCAGGTTACATCACCGGCAAACATGCAGTTATCTCACTCCGATTGTCTCGCTGCTGCACAGGAGGCCCTGTGAATACATAATGTGTAATGGGAACAGTCTAATTTTAACTGTATTGTTCCACAGAGAAAAGCCTGTGGTAAAGTCTTCCATTTGCCAATCTAACCAGATGTGGCTTTAAGAAAAGAGTTGCAACTGAAATGAGGAAAACTGCAGAGTCTGTGTGAGCTCAAGTGAGCTGCTTTATTCATGACATCAACGCACATGCATCTAATGTCTGTCAAACACTGTGACAAGTTATATAGCAGGGACTGTGACTCATTTTGAATCAAAGGTGAAAGTGTCAACATGAATGGCTCATACAACCAAGAGCAAACAGTCACTGTGACAGGATGAAAAAACATCTGTAAATCAATTCGTTATTTCCACATCCGTAGATTACAGTACCTCTCAGTCTTACCTTTTTTGCCTGTCTTCTTGCGCATCCTCATCTTAGGAAAAGAGGGCCAGGAGTAGTTGAAAGGAGAGTCCGAGTCAGAATCCATGATTTGCTATCTTCAAGGTAATCTTTATCCAAACGGCTCAAGGTGTTAATAAATAAATGAGCAGTGCCTCAGTTTACATCCATTTCCCAGAGACAGCGAACTAGCTGCAGCGTTCACTCTCCTTTTTCCAGAGCCCCGCTGTAGACACTCTGACACTTCAGCAGTGAGCCAGCATGTTCCCCTCTGTCTCCCCCAGTCACCCCTCCCCCTAAGGTCCACCCCTTCCCCCTCGACAACTTTGCACTAACTGTCTGACAGAGCAGGGACACAACTCTGTCTTCTCCCTCTGATCCTTTCTACAGTTTTCTCACTATCTACAACTTTGTCCCATCTTCCTGACTGCTCTCTTCAAATCTGTAACAACATTTGAGTCTCTAAGTCTTCCTCTGGCCCCCCCAGTCACTCATCTACCAAACAGAGTACAGGGGAGAGGGAGAGAGATCAACACATGCTGACAGGAGCAGGGGGGAGGAGTGTATTGACTGCCGGAAAGAGTGACTGAAGGAGGGAGAGAAACAGAGAGAGACAAAGTCAAACAGAGTGACTTCAGAACCTACAGCGAAGACAAACACGAGGGCAGACAGCTTAGGGGAGGTGAGTCTCAGACCCGGGAGGAATCATTAAGCCTGTGAGTTCATGATTGCCTCGGAGAGACGCCACACTCCAAGGTACAAGACGTGCACCCCGAATATGCCAGATGCCACATCTGAACAGATTCCTTCTCGATCACTCCATTCTCTGTTTCTATATTATAGCATGTCAAAGCTAGAATGAGGGGGAAAGGGGTTCGGAGTGTGTGGAGGGGGCGGTCTGCCAGGTCAGCAGCCTCACCATGGAGACAGGAGTGAGAGCCGCTGCTGTTTTTTCTTTGGGTTTCCCCCCCCTCCTCCTCCTTTTCCCCCTCTTGCAGGAGTACAGTGCTCCATTGGCAGCAGCAGGGATACAAGTATGTTTAGCTAGAGGTGGTAAATGTGACAGAAAGGGATAATGAAGCGGGTTTAAGAGACAAATCAGACAATGGCACTTTGGGAGACGCCAAACATGGGTTTATAAATGCACATCAATGAAGGAATGTGATAAAAAAACAAACGAGAAAGGGGGATGAGAATGGGTTTGGTAGGACGAAGATATGCAGAGGACAGAAACAGAGGTACACTGCGACTATAAAGTAGTTTCTGTATGTGCTGGTGTGTGTGTGTGTGTGTGTGTGTGTGTGTGTGTGTGTGTGTGTGTGTGTGTGTGTGTGTGTGTGTGTGTGTGTGTGTGTGTGTGTGTGTGTGTGTGTGTGTGTGTGTGTGTGTGTGTGTGTGTGTGTGTGTGTGTGTGTGTGTGTGTGTGTGTGTGTGAGGAGGGGTGTTGGCACTGTACTGGTGAACATTAATGCTGCCTTTGTGGGGTCTGTGTGAGGTTTAATCCTTTTTTACGTTCTCCAATTAGACCCCTCAGCCGGGGTCACAGACTCTTGTTAGTGTTGCTGGCATGTCTCTCATCGTCTGTTGTCACCCTTCCAAACTATCCATATCATAAATCCCTTTCTCTTGCGCTCTCTCTTTCCAACTAATACACACACACACACCATTCTCACACTCCTCTACTCTGCTCTCCCTGGGGATCTCAAGAAGCTGGAAAACTGCATTCAGCACCGCCTTGGCAACCCCCATTCAGATTTGTTTTCACTTCCCTATAGCCCTTGCCCCCTTCAGAGCACTCTTCCCCACTGCCTTCTCCCTCTCAAATGCACACTGACAACACACACACATATCGACCTCCTTCCTCTCTCTTCCGCTGTGTAGAGCAGAGCTCCTCGGGATGGAGTGGCGTTTGCTGTTTGTTCACTAAACTCACATGCAAATGCTGACCTGGGAGGAAGGGACCCGGGGCATGGGTGCACAAGTCTGTCTGTTTGTGTTTGTGTGTGTATGAAGGTATTTAAGGGCAAGTGTGTGTTTTGGGTGGGGTGTTTGGATTTTGGGGGCATTAGGAGGGCAGATGGGGGGAGAAGCGGAGGGAGCTGGAAGCATGGAAGACAAGTGAGAGAAACTTTTCTACTATCAAACGTTTTTAACAATTACGCCTATATTTTAAACCTTTAACAACCTGCTGTGGCAAAACTGCATTTTATTTTGCTCATGTGAGTGAAGGTACAGTCATTTGAAATGGAGAGAGGAAAGAGCTGACATCAAGAAGACGGGGAAAATGACAGCTACGCTCAAAATTCCTCATCCCCTGCCGAAGCTCTGGCCATATAAGCTGTGTCTGTCTATTTGATGACGCATAAGCTCAATGATAAAAACAGTCTGGAATCGCAAACCTGCTGGTCACTCGTTATGCCCGACAGCTTAGAAATGTCTAATGAAGAATTGTATTTCCTCAAGCGTCAAATGAGCAATGTAATCCTGGAAGAGTTACATGTATAAAACCTGAATCACTCTGAGCCTGAAGTTTTTTTAAATATGGCAGTAAGAGGAAACTGAGGAGAAAACAGGATTTATGGGCCAGCCTTATTGGTCTGAACCACAAAACCCTTTGAAGGGACCAATCGAGGTCACGAGCAGTAACTCTACACACGCCAGAAAATATGAAAATCCTAAACTAGCCAACAAACACACACATTCACAAATACACACAGAACAAAATGGCTAAACCATATAACATGGAAAACAACGCTAGCCACAGGAAGTTCAGATTGCAGATGTCCAGTGCCAAGTGTTATAAAGCCTGAAGCCTCAGCTTATAACCACAACATTCTTACACTGAGGCATCAGTCCGCTCTGCAGCAATACAAGCCAATTATTAACCCGCTGGATGTTCCCACTCATTAAAATCATTCCCTTCCCGTGCAGAGGCAGATCAGAGTGGTCAACCTAAAGCCCCACATTTAGCATTCATCCCTGTCCCCATGTCACTGCTGGTGGGAAGAGGGTGACTCTGCATTGTATCTTCATGTCGGATTATCTAGATTCCTTCTTAGTGCCACCATCACTGTAAACACAGAGTGACACGACTCTAAAATCTCCAGAGAGGAGGGGCCAGAAGGAGTCAGGGGGCTGAAATGTGATCGTACAGTCTGTGGGGATGGTGGACAGCGGTGGTCATGTTTTAAGTTCCAAGTTCTGTTCAGGAAAAGAAATGTTTCCTGCAGATGGACTCGCTTATGGATTAGAAGCGAATTAGATCATTTCCTATGAACATACAGTAACACCACCTAAACCAACAGTGATCAGTTTCAGTCTGCTCAAAACAGGATCTACAGCTGAGGCAACGCAAGCTCTAAAATTAAAACCAAATCTAAAAACAGGCTTCTGAGAAAGTAACCTTGCTCTGAGGGGAAGCTTAAAAAGATGTTAAAAATAAAATCTTTACCAGATTCAAAGTGTGATGGGTCGTCCACCTCGTCCTCTTCATGCAGGCAAAACATCAGCAGCTCCTCGTAGTCCTGGACAGACAGAAGCGTTCAGCAAACAGCACACACATTTCCAAGGACTAAAGTAGAACTAAAGTACACAAACACAAGTGTTTGGTGAATGCCTAGTTGTGTGACAGAGCAACATCTAGGTAACCATCTGTATCACATAAAACCTATTCAATAACGAGAATCATGTGCACACGCCACACCTCTCAAAACATGAATTACACACTTGACCGCTCACAAAGTCGGCTATTCAGGGGCATGTGCAGGGTGCCAGCTTCAACACCTTGACAATAAGAGTGAAACAATGTGGAGCATTTAGGGATGGTCGGTGCCACCGGCTGATGCAGATGTTCATGGAGATTAAAGAGTTTTAAAATTAGAACAATTAGATATCCGGGACTTTTTTTTATGGACACCTGTTGTGGCAAAATAGGCACACACGTACTCTGGAGTGTTTTTGAAGGACATGTAACATATTGTATTGTCTCATCAAATAAAGCTGTTTAAACTTAGACAATTACAGTATGAGCTAACATTACATATTTGTTTTATTATATATTTAGTCCATACCTATGTGTGTGAAATATTATGAACCAATACTCACATTTTCTTCTACAGCAGCTCTTTTCATTTCAGAATACAGTGCTGAAAGAAGAGAAACGTACTCAGACATACAGCAGCCATTACACTTCAAAAGAGGCTCGAGTGGGCACAGATGTGTGTCACTTTTTAACAATGTATGTACCATGCAAAGTGGGTTTTTTCATAACCTGGGGAGACCTTACTGTGGCCTTGATCTACTTTCTTCTCATTTTACTACCATGTGCATCTCAGATCAAAGGACACTGTATGATTGCTTACCAGAAACCAAAAAGTGACGCACAGAAATTAGTGTATGGGTGGTTTGATATGGAGCCCCGGGTCACATTAATATAAAAGTATGTAAATGCAGGAAAGGGAAGTGGCAGCAACACCATAAAGGATATATAGGTTGGGAGAGGAACTCAGAGACAAAAGAAGAATCAAGCAGCAAAGAGTGAGAAAGGAGAAGATGTCAAATATAGGAGACTAAAAAACAAGCTTCTTTCTGTGCCTCAGTGGGATACCGTGAAACACATTCACTTAAGTCTGATACAGTGATGCCAGCTGGCTCTAAAGTGAGAGAGAGAGAGAGAGAGAGAGAGAGAGAGAGAGAGAGAGAGAGAGAGAGGAGGGACAGAGAAGAAGAGAGAGAGAGAGAGAGAGAGAGAGAGAGTGAGATACGAGAGACACGAGATACAATAGGCTATAGAGAGAGATCGAGGGACGATAGAACAGCGGAGATGAGCGAGAGACAAGAGACAGAGAGAGAGCGATAGATCGATCGAGATATATAGATATAGACATATGGTTACTCGGCTTTTTTCAGAGAGATGTTAATGTTAAAAAAAGAAATGGTAGATAAATAAATAAAATAGCCAACAGTTTGTTTTGTCCAAACAACAGTTAAGATGTCAAAATATATTTAATAGGCAAATGATAATACTACACACGCTTAGGAAAATTGAAAACACAGCATTGAGAAGCTATAATCAGCAGATTTTGTTTTGATGAATGAATCATTATAATTATAAATGACTGACATGTATTTCCTGTCAATTAACTAATTTAAGTTTATTTTACTCTACTGTTAATCAGGTTCACATAAGACACGTTATCTTGATGTATCTTTGCAACAGCAATACCTGAAAAACCCCACAGGAGGGCAGTCAATGTCAGCTAATAAAGCCCGAGTCAAGCCACAGTATGAAGCCTCATAGACCACTTGAACAAAGATTGGCAGACCATTGCAACATAAGAGTTCAGATTGAGGGTTAACCGGGCCTCTTAAATCCCACAAAGATTAAGAAGGTTAAAATAAAGTTACCGGTCTCGGCAGGATCATCCACCAGCTCCTCCTTCCCCGAGAGGGTCTCCACACGTTCCCTCCTGAGAGCTTTGATCTAAGGAGGAAAGGTGATGTTTAAGTCAGAGGATGAGGTCAAACTGAAGCATAGGGCTGGGAGGTGGTGACTCTATTCTTACTTTGTATGTGAAATTACATCATTTCTAACTAGCTTTATTTTGATGGTACTTTCAGGTACATTATTTGCAGTTTATAATTGTGTATCACCAAAACCTCAAAAGCGCAATTTCCTCCACTAAAGAAATCCCATCTCTCTATAAATTACAGCTGAATTGCTTCATTTTGTTTGGGTTGCCTTGGTTGGGGCGATGAGGGGGGTTCAAACCTTGACCCCAGCACCAGTTAACGTTGACAATTCACCTCTCTGAGAAAGTCCTCATCTCTGAGCCGGTCTCTGAGAAGCAGGATGTCAGCGTGTCGACTGTCCTCTGAGCTCCACCTCAGGTTCTGTCGGACGGTCAGAGTCAGGTTCCCCATATCATGACAGAACCTGAGCAGGCGGGACCGGTCGGCCCACACCTGGGACAGACCTGCTGGAGGCGTGGCCAGAGGGTTGGGGGGGCTGTAGCACAACAGGTGGGCCGGTTTAATCACAACCATTAAAAACATTAGGGTTGATGTTCAAAGAGAATATTGTTACACCATGAAAAATCTCAATAGAAAGTTAATTATTTTTGTTATGTGTATAATTTAATTTATGAAAAAAACTCTAAAGCACTGTCAGCATTTCAGATGATGGTGATTTTCGGCCATGTACACATACAGGTGTTTAGCACTGTGTGTAGTCATTGGCAAAATATCTATCGTGTCATATTTCATTTCATTTGTATTTGTTCCGTTCATGGTATGCACAAACTCAATGTATAACAATTATTTACAAAACATGTCTCTGTAAACACACCATACCCGAATAGGAGCAGGGAGAAGAAAATAATCTTATAAAACCTGCCCCTTTCTAAAAAATATAAATAGATGGTCTGTCCTTCATATTTTCGTATTCACAGCCAATCATTGCAGTATCGTAGGAAAATAAGAGAAACACAAAAACGTACAAAAAACACTTAATTCCCACTTGACAGTTAAGGGAAAACAAAAACAACAACACCAAAACATCACATGAACAAGGAAAAGTGCAACACCCTCATCTGAGTCCTACTTGAGTAGAAGGGGAAAGCGGAGCATAATAAACTAGTGAGACTAGATATCCAGCTAGATTTGCAATAAGTGTTGTCTTTTCCTGGTTTGAATGAGAGCTTTCCCTTACTGTGTGTGAACGCACTGCACTCAACGCCTAATGTTACAGCTTAACAGTGATTCATTTGCCAGTATCCCTGCCGTATAATCTTACTGTGTGAGCAGCTCCAGGAGCTCGGTGTTGCCGGCTGTCTGTGCCAGCTGCAGCGGTGTCACTCCCTCTTCGTTTGGCAGACTGACAGCCATCAGACCCCCCGGCTGACAAAGCAGCAGCTCCGCAAGCCGATACAGACCCCATCGCACGGCCATGTGGAGGGGAGACTCCCTGAAACTGTGCTCTGGAGATGAAGGAAGACATCTAATTCAATAAAATATATAACTGATAAAGGTAGGTAGGATGTTAACAGTAAGACAGGAACGAAGGGTGAAACGTGAGATAAAGAGTAACCTATCATGTCAAGAAGTGCCTCTTGATAACTCGTGATAATTAACCTAAATGCCAATGATTGATTTGTCCTCTTGCATAGCCCTGGGTATCTCTGCCCCACTGACACACTTAAATAAAAGTTTTTCTTAACAAAGTAGGGGCAGTTACTTATTTCTGTGTCTGTTACTCAATGCAGTTCAACCAGATCTGTCTCCAGGTGACAGACATGCATCAACACAGCTTCAGTCAAGCAGCTAGTAGGCTTGATCAAAGGAAAATTGTTAAACCCAATTCAGACAAAATAAAGGACACTTAGCTTAAAACCTCCTTGGTATATCAACTTAGTGAATCTTAAAATGTACTTCTTTGATTTGACTGTTAATCAAATATCTAGTGGGGTGTCATTAAGTAAGGTGCATGTTTACTATAACCACTGTTCCTTAATGCTGATGCAGTCTTTGGTAGACATATGTCAACAAGACTTTGTTGACCTCGTCCCATAACATTGCAGCAGCATTTGTCATTGATTTTCTAGAAATTCAGACAAAACATCTCAGTTATTGAGGCAACTGCAGAATTTCATAACTTGAATAACAATAGGCCGACAATCACCTTTTTCTCCACTTAGTTTTCAAGGCAACTTACAGAGATACAAAGCGGCCAGGAAGATGCTGTCTGAATTTATTTAGCATCACAGCCAGAGCAAGAAGAAAATATAACTAAATAAATAGAAATAGAAAAAATACACTGACGAGAGAAACATGCCATAGAGTCTACACTGAGGGATTTCTAATGGGATGTTGCTTAGCTAAACAGCAAAAGATAGCCTAAAACATGAAACACGATCAACACCTAGACAGTATTATCAAAAAACAATTATTCATCCCAGTTGGTATTTAACTGAAAAGGGGTAATGCGGTTTTATTTGAGATGATATATCATTTTGCCTTTGAATAATAGTGGACTACAGAAAGCATTAGGAATCATATTGATGAAAAAAGCAATTTCCCCCACATACTGTGCAGTGTGCAGCCAATGTGGCCAAACTGGAGCCAGGAATACGCTATTCTACTATTCTAGTCAAAGTGAAGTCACTTTAAGTGAAACAACAGCTCATAACTGACTAACATAAAGCAAGATTACCTTTATAAGTCTACGCTTTAATTCTAGAAAAAAACTCTGTCCAAGAATATTGTGTATAGAAAAAACATCTGCCAGCCTTCTTGACCTTTAAAGACAGATTCCACACATCTTTGCAGGCTGTATCAAAGGTATTCAATTGCACATTTTTCAGAGCTGCCCAGAGAAAATCAAATGATTCCAAGATCCAATCAAATATCTAACTGTTGATAAAGAATTGGATTTCTCCATTCCTTTAAAATGTAGAAAGCTCTATGAACAAAGCACCAATGGTTAGCTGGGATTGATAAATCAGTACAGCATCGGCAGTAGAATGATGATGTGAGCAGTGTTATGAAATGAACTGAAGACATTTAGAGGGAGACGCTGCAAAGAAACAGACTGCCCTAACTTTGTTAATGCTAAATCTAGTTTATTATTTATGTAGGTGGCCCTACACAAACACTTAGATCATAGAGACAGATGGTGACAGTCAACATGGTGGTCGGCACACACACGCACGCAAACACACACACATACAGATTTATTAGTCTCTGCCTAGGGCTACTTCCAGAAGGAAAGGCTCTATTAACCACATTATATGCTGCCTAATTGGCTTTGATGAGTCCAACAGAAGCACACATGTGACCATGTTCACTTCCGATTACACAGTAAGCATTGCAAATGGGTAGGATGGCAGAGAAAAGGGGAGGGGGAGTTGAAGAGTTCACCTTCCTAAGATATAGCTGGCTTTGAGTGTGCAGTGTGATGCTGAGAGATCCCTCTTTATAAAAAACAACATCTTTCCTTAAACCAATTTCTGACAGTTAAACATTACAACCTTATCCGTCTTCCTCAAAGCTGTATGCTTTAAGCTTATCTACCTAATGTTTCCTGTGTATACATTGTTGTGTAATAAAAAACAAATACTATGTGCTTTAGATAAACGTATCTGTGCAGGAAATCCCATTAAGCAAGATGAGTAAATCCTGCTCTCACCATCTCCGCTGTGGCTCCCTAGTACATTCCAGTTTTGGGGGATATCCAGATTTGCCATGGCCAGGGCAACGCGACGATCCATAGCCCAGCGAGAGCTCTGTTGGCCCAGATTGAAGAGGCTGCTCAGATCCTTGTGATCCCTGGAGCTAAGGCAATGTCCGTGGACTACCAGGTGCTCTGCCAGGTCCTGAGAAGAACAAAGAATAAGATCAATCCTTGAAACAGTCATGTGAAAACCAATGCTACACAACAAAGGTGAAATGTTTTAGTTTTTTCAAAGCAAATCATGTTTTCACTTAACATTAATTACAGAAAATAGAATTTTTCACCGTTTTAGAAAACAAGTTTTTTTAATATAAGCTTATTGTCATTGTTCAAGGATTCAAGGCTTGTATTGTCATTTGTACTTAGCTACAGTGTAGTTATCTTAGGTCACAGGCTCCTCCAACAGTGCAACACAATAAAACGGATAAAAGTTGAGAAAAGTTGTCATAAAGAATATGACAACAATAATCCATTCCCAAGCAGGTTATTTTAACCTTGGGTAAGCACAAAGTGTAAATGATATCTAACCTGAGCATCATCTTGGACATACTCCAGAGAAGCCCCGCCCACCCAGGTGAGGGGTGTGGTTTCAGAACACAGGTAGGCCTGCACAGACACCACCTCAGCCAGGTTATGACCTAAAAAGACACGACCCGTCAAAACACAGATTTTATTCAGAGCAGATTTGTATTTATTTTAAATAAAAAGAGTATTTATATACAGTCTGAGTTTGTAGGTCACCCTCTAAAAACACAAATCCACTGGTAAGGTCCTTAAAATATACCTTTTATGTTTCATCCCAGAGCCTCAGTGCATTATTGTGGTTCAAAATGTTATCAGATTTTCATTTTGTATGCTGAAAGGGCTTTTCTTTTATGGAGAAGACGACTTGCTTTTGATAGTGCCGTTATAGTAGAGTGCTCAAGCCTGCAGGACTGCCTGTTGTCTGTGTCAACCTACACAGAGGCTCAGTAATGTTGACGTATTGTTTATGGCGCTGTTTCCCCCCTGAGAGGAAGCTGATAAGATTCTGTGCCTTTCCAGACCTCAAGTCACAGACTGTGATTGTGCAAGTGTGTTTCCATGTGTGTGTGTGTGTGTGTGTGTGTGTGTGTGTGTGTGTGTGTGTGTGTGTGTGGGAAGATCAATATAGTGATATACTGTTCATGAGTTTCACAGACAATAAGAAAAACCTGGAGTTGTCAGATTGTGCAGTGGAGGGTTAACTAAATAAATTCTCCCTTTTGGAGGAAAAACATATTGACCTAATATACACACACATCAATATAGTATGATCTACAGGCATACACCGTAACATACCAGGAACTATAAAGCAGAGCATGACATCACTAAGAGCCCTGGTGACATGGACCAGTGTGGATCCTTCCAAGACAACGTAGACCTCTGCATCCTCGGGAAGCGAGTCAAAACCATCCAGCAGTGCAAATACTTTCGCCTGGCCCTAAGACAAAGACAATTCAGAGAGTTTGAAAGAGAAAATGAAGACGAAAGATGCTTGAGAGCAAGATATATTTCTATTCCTAAAGATGCAGGCTCATTTCTGTGAAGTACACTAAATCCCCTCACAGCATGCCAATTGAGGACCATAGAGCATTACCCCTCAATAAAACCAGGAATGTCTTGAAGTCTACTGCAAAGACCTGCCCTGATCCTAAAAGGCCAGAACACTTTAGACTTCTGACCTGAGGCAGAGAAAAGTGAAATAGGGCAGAATATTTACACTGATTTGTAGGATGATTACTGGCCTTTGACCAACGTGTAATGTGCCAGCCTCACTGGACTCTGTGAATACATCACTTTGTATTGCCGATACATATTGTAACATAACTTCAAAACCGAATCCTTCCACAACTTTCTTGGTTGCCTAAAACGGCTTATAGAATAATTTTTATTTCTACCATTGTTAAGTGCCTATAGCTCCCCAACAGCCTCAAAAGTGTGTAACTAAAATGAATGATCTTGAGTAGATAACGTCAGCCAATTCATCCAAATGACAGGGGCAGATTTTTTAGGTCAAATTGTCTCACCTGGCTTTTTTTGTTTCATTACCTCAGCCAGCTGGCTAAATGTGCTTGCTATCAGGCTAGTTGTATTACTATCTGTGGAGTGGATGTAAAATGACTAGCATGTTAAATTAATGGTTGACTACTAATGCAAAACCTCCCACCGCTTAATAACAATATTTGAAATACGGCAAGAACAATTAAAGTATTCAAAAGGAAGACAAGTTGTAAATAAGACAAATTCTCATCTTGTAAAATTTAACAGAAGGCTATTTAGATTCAGCAGACACAGAGGCAGTGGTTCCCAACCTGGGGCCAAAGGTCGCAGGGCACCAGGCCTCAAATTAATTTTATTTTTACATATAATTGTAACACAATACATGATTGTCAAAAAATAATTGATTAATTAATTTTAATAAAAATTCAAGTTAGTAGCTATTAAAGGCATACAAAGACAGAAATGTATAATTCTTTCTTTAATAGAAATGTTTCTTCTGCGTGTAAAGTGTCCAAACCAGGCCTTTCTGGATAAGCGCATTTTTAAAACATAGTCATTGTCCGTGCCGGTTTCAGTTGGATTATTTGTCACAGTTGCTCCGATCAGATCGGTCTCCTCCATTTTGTAGATTATTTACGACTTTTGAATCCACATAAACACATCGGCAAAATCCGGCTTACTTTGAGCATGTGTTTTAAACAGTTTAATCCCTTTGTGAATTGTTTCCCCTTGCGGTGTCCTTTAATTTCTTCATACAGCGGGAATCCAAATGAATTAATCCTCAGTCCAATAACCATCAAAGTCACTCCGATAGTGCTCCTTCATTACGCTTTCATCCTCTTAACAAAATACTTCACATTCATCCAGTTTGTGACAGTAGTTGTAGCATTTTTGAGACTTTTAAACTTTAATTACAGCTGTTGCGCCCCCCCCCCCTCTGTGTGTGTGTGTGTGTGTGTGTGTGTGTGTGTGTGTGTGTGTGTGTGTGTGTGTGTGTGTGTGTGTGTGTGTGTGTGTGTGTGTGGGGGGGGGGCGCAACTTCCAACAGGAGTCATTTAGGGGGACTCTTGGGAAAAAAGGTTGGGAACCCCTGATCTAAGGAATGCAACTCTAAATGTGATAACAAATCTACATTTTGGTCTCTACCATCTCCAGAGGAAAATATATTTGTACCTCACCAACGCTCACCAACAAGTGGCTTATGTTGCCAGTCTGCTGTATGTTGCTGGGCAAGCAATGTACCATGGGGTTACAAGACTTTTTTCTGTGTAAAACAATGTACTCAGTGCAGTGAGACTGACACAAACAGTACAGTTGCAGGAAATAAAACCAAAATAATTAGAGAGGCTGAAACATTTTGTTAGGCTGATGAGAACTTGAGTGTAAGGTTTTAATTATGTGTGAGTTTGTCACAATGAACAGCTCCTTTCTCACTACACAATGTAATTCAACCAATTATTGATATAAACATTTTGAATATTCCATCCATCCATCCATCTTCTCCCGCTTATCCGTGGTCGGGTCGCGGGTGTAGCAGTTCCAGCAGAGAGCCCCAAACTTTCTTTTCCCTGGCGACATCAAACCAGCTCTGACTGGGGGATCCCAAGGCGCTCCCAGGCCAGCGAAGAGATATAATCCCTCCACCTGGTCCTAGGTCTACCCCTTGGTCTCTTCCCAGCTGGACGTGCCTGGAACACCTCCCTAGGGAGGCGCCCAGGTGGCATCCTAACTAGGTGCCCGAACCACCTCAACTGGCTCCTTTCGACGCGAAGGAGGAGCGGCTCAACTCCGAGTCCTTCTCACCTTATCCCTAAGGGAGACACCAGACACCCTGCGGAGAAAACCCATCTCGGCCGCTTGTATCCGCGATCTCGTTCTTTCGGTCATGACCCATCCTTCATGACCATAGGTGAGGGTAGGAACGAAAATGGCCCGGTAGACAGAGAGCTTTGCCTACTGGCTCAGCTCCCTTTTCGTCACAACGGTGCGGTAAAGCGACTGCAGTACCGCTCCCGCTGCTCCGATTCTCCGGCCCATCTCACGCTCCATTGTTCCCTCACTCGAGAACAAGACCCCGAGATACTTGAACTCCTTCACTTGGGGTAAGGACTCATTCCCTACTTGAAGTGGACAGTCCATCGGTTTCCTGCTGAGAACCATGGCCTCAGATTTGGAGGTGCTGATCCTCATCCCAGCCGCTTCACACTCGGTTGCGAACCGATCCAGTGAGTGCTGAAGGTCGCAGACCGATGAAGCCATTAGAACCACATCATCTGCAAAAAGCAGTGGTGCAATCCTTAGTCCACCGAACTGCAGACCCCCTCCCCCATGACTACGCCTCGAAATCCGATCCATGTATATTACAAACAGGATTAGTGACAAAGCGCAGCCCTGGCGGAGGCCAACCCTCACCGGAAATGGGTCCGACTTACTGCCGAGGACCCGGACACAGCTCTCGCTTTGGGAGTACAGAGATTGGATGGCCCTGAGTAGAGACCCCCTCACCCCATACTCCCGCAGCACCTCCCACAGTAACTCCCTGGGAATTCGGTCATATGCCTTCTCCAAGTCTACAAAACACATGTAGACCGGATAAGCGTACTCCCAGGCCCCCTCCAGGATCCTTGCGAGAGTAAAAAGCTGATCTGTCGTTCCACGACCAGGACGGAATCCGCATTGTTCCTCCTCAATCTGAGGTTCGACAATCGGCCTGACCCTCCTTTCGAGTACCTTAGAGTAAACTTTCCCGGGGAGGCTGAGTAGTGTGATGCCTCTGTAATTGGCACACACCCTCTGATCCCCCTTTTTAAAAAGGGGAACTACCACCCCGGTCTGCCACTCCTTCGGTACTGTTTCCGACTTCCACGCAACGTTGATGAGACGTGTCAACCATGACAGTCCCTCAACACCCAGAGCCTTTAGCATTTCCGGGCGGATCTCATCCACCCCCGGGGCTTTGCCACTGTGGAGTTGTTTGACGACCTCAGTGACCTCCCCCCGGGAGATTGGTGTTGATCCCCCGTCATACTCCAGCTCTGCCTCTAACATAGAGGGCGGAGTTGTCGGGTTCAGGAGTTCCTCAAAGTGTTCCTTCCAACGCCCCAACACTCCATCAGTTGAGGTCAACAACGTCCCATCCTTACTGTACACAGCTTGGATGGTTCCCTGCTTCCCCCTCCTGAGGTGTCGGACAGTTTTCCAGAACAACTTTGGTGCCACCCGAAAGTCCTTCTCCATGTCTTCTCCGAACTTCTCCCACACCCGCTGCTTTGCCTCGGCCACGGATGAGGCTGCTGCCCTTCGGGCCTGTCGGTACCTTGCAACTGCCTCGGGAGTCCCCCGGGATAACAAATCTCTGAAGGCCTCCTTCTTCAGTCGGACGGCTTCCCTGAGTCCACCAGGAGGTTCGAGGGTTACCGCCCCTTGAGGCACCTAGGACCTTGAGACCACAGCTCCCCGCCGCGGCTTCGGCAATAGAGGCTTTGAACACCGACCACTCTAGTTCAATGTCCCCAACCTCCACAGGAATGCCCTAAAAGCTCCGCCGGAGGTGTGAGTTGAAGGCCTCCTGAACTTGGGCCTCCTCCAGACGTTCCCAGTTCACCCGAACTACACGTTTGGGCTTACCAGGTCTATCCAGAGGCTTCCCCCGCCACTCGACCCAACTCACCACCAGATGGTGATCAGTTGACAACTCCGCCCCTCTCTTTACCCGAGTGTCCAAAACATACGGCCTCAGGTCCGATGATACGATAACGAAATCGATCATGGACCTTCTGCCTAGGGTGCTCTGGTACCACGTACACTTATGAGCATCCTTATGTTCGAACATGGTGTTTGTTATGGCCAATCCATGACTAGCACAGAAGTCCAGTAACAAACCACCACTCCGGTTCAGATCAGGGGGGCCGTTCCTCCCAATCACGCCCCTCCAAGTGTCTCCATCATTGCCCACATGTGCATTGAAGTCTCCCAGCAAGATTAAAGAGTCCCCTTCAGGAGCCCCATACAGGACTCTTTCCAGGGTCTCCAAGAAGGCCGTATACTCTGAACTGCTGTTGGGTGCATAAGCACACACAACAGTCAGAGTTTTCCCCCCCATAACCCGCAGGCGTAGGGAGGCGACCCTCTCGTCCACTGGGGTAAACTCCAACAACGAAGCACCTAACCTGGGACTTGTGAGTATCCCCACACCCGCCCGGCGCCTCACACCTTGAGCAACTCCGGAAAAGAATAGAGTCCAACCCCTATCCAGAAGTAAGGTTTCAGAGCCGACGCTGTGCGTAGAGGTGAGCCCAACCAGATCCAACTGGTAACGCTCCACCTCCCGCACAAGCTCCGGCTCCTTCCCCCCCAGAGAGGTGACGTTCCACGTCCCCAAAGACAGCTTCTGTCGCCCGGGTCTGGTCCGTCGAGACCCTCCGCTTTCACTGCCACCCTTCTGGCAGCGCACCCGACCCCATCGATGTTTCCCGTAGGTGGTGGGCCCGCGGGACGGAGAAGCGGAGGTGTTGCCCACGTTGCCTTTTCGGGCTGGGCCCGGCTGGGCTCCGTGGCAAGCCCGGCCACCAGACGCTCGCCGACGAGTCCTCCTTCTGGGCCTGGCTCCAGAAGGGGACCCCGGGCTTCCTCCGGGCCGGGTATCCTCACTTCTTGTGTCGTCTTTCATGAGGTCTTTTGAACCAATCTTAGTCTGGCCCCTTGCCTGAGACCAATTTGCCATGGGAGACCCTACCAGGAACACAAGGTTCCAGACAACACAGCCCCCAGGTTCATCAGGGCACACAAACCTCTCTACCACGGTAAGGTGCTGGTTCTTTTGAATATTGCAACTTTAAATTATTCTGGGTCTTTTTGGTTGAACCTTTTACTGTGGATAGATTAAGAAAAACATAATGTTAGTTTCAGACCCGCAGAAGAAAAAAAGAGACATCTTCCAGGGCCACTGGCCTCCTTTGGAGAGCTGCCACTTTCCACCATCTCCTACGACCTGCAGGATATCAATTTGTCCAGCTACAATGTCCTCAATAGACCAGACAGCAATGCAACCACAAGACACACTGTGTGGGTTACTCTGGGAAACATATCAAACCACTGACATAGGAAGAAGTACAGCTGACAGGTTGAAGGAAAGAAGCCACACCAATTTTTTTTTTTTATTATAAGGCTTGACTTGAATTGCAATGAATGTCTCAGGTTAGTGTTGAATGATGTGAGAGTGAGGAGATTTTTTTAAGAAGTCTGGCTCTTTTTCTCATGAGAGTATATCTATTAGCCTTGAATCACCTCAACAGCTGACCTACTTTCTCACGCCATATAACTGAGAGGCTTTTTTCTTTACTCCTCTTGCTGTCTATGATAGCGGCACCGTGAGTAATCCTGGCTATCCCTCTCACCTAATCCTACCTTCAGGTTCATTTATGCACGTCTTGATCCCTAGTCTTTAAAATAGAGAACATCAGGTTTAACACACATTTTATATAATGTCTACAGATCTTTTCCCGAACTCACGTTGAGATTCCTCACCTCCGTGTGATTGACCACAAATCAATGATTTTTTATCGACCCATTACCTCCATCTTATTTCCATTAAATTCAGTAAGCAAATGAAGGTATGCAGGAATGTGAGTATCCTGCTCCAAGCCTCAAAGAGTGAAAAGTATGTCTGTAGACCTGTAAAACATTGTTCAACTTTCCTGTTTTAGTAGCTACCAGAGACGGGATCAAGTCATTTTTTCCAAGTAACAAGTACGTTTCAAGTCTTTGCAATCAAGGCCAAATTCAAGAACGACAGGTCATCAAGTCCTATGTCCTAAACTTTGTGTTTCAGGTCCTAAACAAGTCATATCAAATCAGCAACGGTACGTTAATTCTTAAGGGTTCTCTCCTACAACATGACTGGATGCTATCCAGTTTTTCAAACCAAGTGGATCTGGTGCACTCCGTGTCGGCTTTCTAGGAATGAATAGCAATATTGTTAGCTGAGAAAATTAAGGGGATTCATATTATTATTTATTTTTAAATAACATGCTTTCTTATTTTGGGCTTGGAGAGAGGTATCGAGTGTTTAAGTCATAAGGCCCAAGCCCAAGTTAAGTCACAAGTCATTTGTGTTTTAAGTGGCTTTTTGATTTCATCAAGTCAAGTCTAAACTCATCAAATGTGTGAGTTGAGTCCAAGTCATGTCATTCAATTATGTATGTGTGGGATTCTAAAACAAGCACAGTATCAAAGGAATTTCGGTTTCATTACACTAAATGGACAAGATCTTTGGTAGAAGGAAAACAGCCTTGAAAACATGTCAAACTAGAAAGGATTAAATTGACTGAACACAGTGTGATCAATGTCTTCACCCTCTGATCTTTAGAGAAGCATAAGCTCTTATTAATGTTTGCATACTTAAGTTCCCAAGCTTATATAAATAACAAAATACTTGAATGCAGTGTTGCCCTGTTTGGCTTCAGTTTTAACTTAAAGAAAATAGATCCATTTAAAGGTTTAACCAGATACACAACAAATCAAACGGATAGCAAATACCTTTCATACTCTAAATAAAATAAAAACATCACTGTGAATGAAGCACATAGTTACTGATTTGCTAGTCATACACACAAATGCCAGACTGCTATTGTTGCCTAACTTTCCTAAGAAACTATGAGTCAGTGCTTAAATAAATCAACAGAAAAACCCAGAGACCTTGCATTCAGACCATACGGTGCCCGTCTGTTCAAAGTCTAAAACATTTGTCTGCTGTCATCGTGGCATTTCATTGACCCTAATCTTATTTTAAAAGACTCGTACATACAGTGACTTTAGTGAACTTAAACATACTGTAGTGATGCAAAAACAGAAAAGTTGTATTTCGTCAGATATATTCAATGCATTTTAATTTAAAAAATGGTTTGGTCATAAGAACAAAATATCTTAGATCTTGAAATCATACTCTTTTTTTGTAAACCAGGCTTCGGATCTCTCAATGCATTCCCAACTCAATTTGCAGAGATTTCCCGAGGGATGACTAACTCTTGAGATGAATTGGAGAACTCATACTTGACTGCAAACTGGAGCACATACTCACATACAGAGGCACTTTCCTCCTGCTCAGCTCCATCTGCACAGCAACTGCAGACAAACATGGACAGACATTTGAGAGACAAAAAGGAAATCCAACACTCAGTGAAGCCACGTGACTCATTACTTTGGTTATTCTGCCTGCTCCTCTGATCCCGAAGAGATTATCAAACCTCATCTGGGCCAAGCGGAGTCAGGGCAGAGGTCCTCCGATGGGACAGCATCATCTTTTGATCTCAACTATGTGAATAATGATTTTAATGACGATGCTTTCTACCTGTGTGTAAAGTACCACAACACCAAAAATGCGCCAAATGATTTGCAGGCAGTGTGTAGCCAGACTACTCGTGCATGTGCGCTCGCCAGCTAAAGTAGGACATCGATTGAGTTTCACTGCTGCAGGATTCAGATCTGTTCTTTATCAGTGGCCGCTTCTTAAACTGGACTCAACAGCAAATACTTATTTCAACCATTTTACCAGAAAATGTTTCTTTTTTCAGACATGTTGCATTAAAACGCTATATTTTTAATGGTCAAAGCATGACAAAAAAAACCGAGTATGACTTCAGTGTGCTAGCTTTACAAAATAAAAACTGCTCATCACATGACAGTTGGGATAATGATGGGACTATATCGATGATTTATTATTAAATAGCACAAACTTGATTGTCTACTTTAAGAAATGTGTTTTATGTTATTGTTTGACTAGTGGTATAATGTTGACCTATTTAGCTGCAGAATAAATGTAAGGCTCGTTTTACAGCGCTATATTCGACCAGCGTTTACATGTTAGCAAACTGTCAATAATATAAGTAGGACTCACGTTGGAAAACAATTCAACAGCTGGAAGAAAATGTTCATATTATTGACGTACCTTCACAGCTCAAACTCCGCAAGAAACCTGACAATGGGCTTAATTTCAGCAAAAACAGGGCAGCTAACCCGGACACATCTTCCTGTTGCTCACTGCTAATTCAAGTGGCGCCGTTAAGCTTCAAGTTGAGAAATGGCGTTCAGTCGGCGCTACGGCTGTTTCAGTGTGAGCTACAGCCTCCACTGAGCGATTATCCTCCTCTCTGCCAGTGTTGGTGCTCCGTGTCTTCGCCTGGTGCAAATGCCTCCTCTTAATATGTGAAAGTTAACAGTTTCTTTGAGCTTACAGTGACCTCTGGTGGAAGGCCATAAAAGAGTGACGTGTGCAGAGAAAAGGGTACACGTTAAAATCGGTACCATTATCAGACTTGAGTCGAGTTTTCTTACCATTTGAACACAATTATGAAAAGTCAGTTCCAATATTACAAAGATTTATTCACATCTGCTTATAAAACATTTGCCACTGTCAAATATTATGAAAACAGAAAGCAGACATTAACAGTTCAATCATTCAAAACACACAAGCACGCATCCAGACAGATTTACATTTGAAAGTGTTATTTCCAGACTTTCAAACAAAAAAAATGAAGTCCCTTCCCATTCACATATGGAAAGATACTTCAAGCAGTAAATGTATGTTCTCTTTGTTGCCTGCTGCGTTTTCAGTCACACCGAGTTAAAACGCCAGGGAGCTCATTGGTTTGTCAGTCTTTTAAAAACCTATCAAGACCAGTTTGCTGACATGTGGTCTGTCATGTCTGGAAATGTTTGTCAGATGTTTCAAAAAGAAGTTTTTAGAGTTGTGAAGGCACTCTAACCCAGTCTTAAGCAACCCCCCCAGCCCTCCTAGTCTCAGGTAGCCTGAATCTGTGGTCTCGAGGTAATCCCGTCTCCCCCGGCCAGGCCATTAGCCCTGCTGATGCCAGGGCACGGAACCTCCATCCTGGGAAAGGAGGAGGCGAACATCGTGTCCAACATGCCCATCACCTCCAGGAGGTCCTGCTGGAAGTCGATCTCTTTCTCCAGCAGCTCCTGCAGACGCAGCAGCTGTCGGTCCACGACTGGAGACTGTCCGATAACCGACCGATAGATGTCCAGGATCATCTCTGCCGCTATGACCAGGACAGGAGCAAACCTGGGGTCAACCACGTTCCTGGAGAACAAACAGAAGAAAGTTATCAGGTTGCAAAATGTTTGTATACGGTTTGATGTACAATAAACTAATTCAATGCATCTGATAACACATAGGCTCAATAAGTTAAACATTGTTGAAGTCTACTTGAGTAATGAAGTTTTATCTTTGTCTTACCCAATGAGAAAGTTTAGCAACCGAGCGAGGGCTTGTTCATCCCTTCCTGCCAGAGCGTTCTTCAACGTCCCCCTTCGATCCAGCTCCTTCATAACAGCCACTGTGATCTCTGGCTTTCGGTGTCTGGTCCATGTCTATAAATGCAATTAATCATTATGACAATGCTTGCTTGTGCAGGAGGGTTGGGTTTCAGCTTCCAATATCGAGGATAGTGAGATGAATTCATAACACTCAAAAGTAAAGTAGCTGACTGATTTGTATTGCAAATTGAAAAAAAGGCAACTTTACAAGAAAAGGATGTTGCCTTGTTGCCATTTTATAAATCCATACGTTTTTTTATTTGCAGGTTCCACTGACTATGCAAATTAATTATTTGAGGTATGCTAATGCTAAATGCAATATCAGCTGTGGCGAAAAACAAGTGTAAAATTGTTTATGGGTTGTCAGAATACTTGAGATCATCAGGAAATTCAGTCGATGGATCACTCAAGAGATCATCATTCAACAATTGATGCAATAGGCAAGAACTTCCGTAGACACCATCACCTACTGCTGCCTTGCATTGTTGGCTGTGCTGGTAATTGAAAAGGAAAATCTAAAGTCATTTAATGGAACCGTTTGAATGGCAAAACGTACCCAATTCCATTTGACATAAGGACAAGGATAGATCATATTTCTTAAAGTTTGACAACATGAATAAATATCATAGCTAGCCCTCACCACCAACTATTGCTAATCAGTATAATAAAACATAGTATTTAGCCTTTTTATAAATGCATACCTCCAGAGCTGTATCCAAAGCCTTTGTGACATTAAATTTCTTGAGCTGCTTGTCGTATTTGGCCAGATGCTGTTTCACCGGCTTGCTGACGAGATAATCATCCTGGAAAAAAGATAGAAAAACAAAAATAATTAACAATGGTGAGAAAGAAAAGCCTTATATTATAACTCAGTGAGCAGAAACATAGCCATTAGCCATGGCATGTTATGATTCAGTTCACACATGTGTAATCATCAATCAATAGATCACATCATGTATTGTTGACTTCAGCCGCTGTACGTAAACCAAATATAAACATACCTGTTTAGGGACAGGGTTCTTCCCCTTCACAAAAACACGATACAATGGCCGCCGCCTCTGTTGGCCAGAGATTTCCTTCGAATCTTCAAGGCTTTTCCTGTGTTTGACACTCAGGATACTATTGGTCATACCCACTACAATTGATTCATCATCCGGCTGAGGAAAAAAAGACACATTCATAGTTTTACTAGAGATCCAGGGAAGAAATACAATTAAACACAAGAAGCCATTAATAAGTCTGTAAAATAGCTTAAAGGCTGTCAGAATTCTTGAGATCATCATGAAATTCAGACGATGGATCACTCAAGGGATCATCATTCAACATTTCACTACACAGGAACTTCAGAAGACACAGTCACCTCCTGTTCCATTGGATAATATTGTTGGCTATAGCTGGGAAGAATTTCTTTTCAGGAGTGCCAGTCTCAAGCAAATCAGTGATTGCAGTGGTAATTGAAAATGAAAATCTAAAAGCACTGCAAACCCAAAGTGAAAAAAACAAAGCTGTCAGATCACTGCTAGGTTGGACATTGTGTTCTGGAACCCCAATGCCCTAAAGCCACCACTGAAGATAGGATGTACTGTTTCATGGGTTTAAATCCCTGGCAAGGACAGATGTTTGTGTTGGCTGCTGCAGACACGAAGTCTATCACCTTGCAGTCTCAGTTCGTTGGTCAAATCATGGCTTGCTCTGATGGGGCACCTCAGATAAAAAGGAATTTTGATCTCTGATGTTGTTTATTTGCATGTGTATAGGCCACACGCACTCCATAAGGATGTTCTTATGTGGCTACTCATCAACCATTGTGTAATTATCATAAATAAAATAAAAACGTATAATAGAACATGATGAAGGATTTAATATAATTTCTTACAGCCAGAGCCAGACTGAGGATGGAGGCAGCGTAGTCAAAGTTGTGGACCACTTTGTAGTTGGTTGTGTTGTACACCTTTACATGCCTGAAAGACAAACAAATGCTCTGCATTAGATCAGGCTTATATAAAAATTACTTTTGAAATAATTGGATGACAGATTAGAATATGCTTTCTTTGTACGCCATTTTACAGTGAGGTTTGCCCATACCTGTCCAGAGAAGCTGACAGCAGTCGCTGGCCGCTGCTGCTGAGACACAAAGACGTGACAGTTTTGTGATGGTTCTTCAAGGACACCAGAGGCTGGCCTCCCTTCAGCAGATCCCATACTTTCACATAGCGGCCACCTAAAGAGAGTAGAAAAAATACATTTTAAAATGTCCTGTACATTAGTAAATATAATGAAGCATGTGTGCAAGAGTTGGTCAAGTTCAGGGAGGCGGCACGTGTAGGAAAACTATTTCAGGTCGTTTTTGTCCCGATTCAAGTCACAAGCAAGCATGAAATTGACCTTAATGCTGCCTGGCTTACTACTACATATGTTATGTCTTTTTCAGCAACCATTGTCAACCTTAACAAGGTGGAGGACCGTTCAAATAATTAAACACTAGTAATATAGTTTGCTTGAACCCAACAAGAGGATTTACTGTAACAACAATTGCTTTAAAAAGAGTGAACACTTGACTAAATGCAAAAAAATAAGTTTAAAACAGTTTATTAGTTGTCAGAATACTTGAGATCATCAGGAAATTCAGACGATGGATCACTCAAGAGATCATCATTCAACATTTGATTCAATAGACAAGAACTAGTAGACACCATCTCCTACTGCTGCCTTATATTGTTGGCTGTGGTGGTAATTGAAAAGAAAAATCCAGAGTCATTTAGGGAGACCTTAATGCTGCCTGGCTTACTACTACATATGTTATGTCTTTATCAGCAACCATTGTCAACCTTAACAAGGTGGAGGACCGTTCAAATAATTAAACACTGGTAATATAGTTTGCTTGAATCCAACAAGTTTGCACATTTTGCTGATGCACTGATGGAGCAAGAAAAGTATTAATGGATGACTACCTGCAGAGACGAGGAGTCCCTCAGAAGGATAGAGAAGCAGACTCTCCACTGGTTGGCCGTGGTCCATGGTCATCACACTCTTATCCACTCTGGCATCAAACAGTTTTAGTGTGTGGTCATAAGATCCTAGGATCAAAACATAAATTGTTAGTCACATGAAAACTCTTTAATTCTTCCATCTGCAGGGCAGTCTGCCTCAAAAGTTGTAGCTTGATACGTTTTTTTATTTGCAGGTTCCACTGACTATGCAAATTAATTATTTGAGGTATGCTAATGATGGTAAATGCAATATCAGCTGTGGCGAAAAACAAGTGTAAAATTATTTATGGGTTGTCAGAATACTTGAGATCATCAGGAAATTCAGTCGATGGATCACTCAAGAGATCATCATTCAACAATTGATGCAATAGGCAAGAACTTCCGTAGACACCATCACCTACTGCTGCCTTGCATTGTTGGCTGTGCTGGTAATTGAAAAGGAAAATCTAAAGTCATTTAATGGAACCGTTTGAATGGCAAAACGTACCCAATTCCATTTGACATAAGGACAAGGATAGATCATATTTCTTAAAGTTTGACAACATGAATACATATTATAGCTAGCCCTCACCACCAACTATTGCTAATGAGTATAATAAAACATACTATTTCTTAGCAAAAGTAACATTTCTCATTTTAATAATATTTTGTTTCTATAACAATGTAGAGTTAAATGATTGTTTTCCCAAGTAGCCATGTGAAAAGCGGGATAATGTACAGTGAGCTGGTCATTATTTCAAAATCAACCATGGCAGGCTGAGCAGGACTTGATTCACAGCTTGCTTTATATTATCCCATATGTTCTTCTTTTTCATATTTAAGTTTTGTTTAGAAAAATAAAATGTTTGATTAAAATAAAAGAGGAAAATCAAATGGCGAAATGTTGGTTGATTTTGGCT